TTTACCAGTTGATCAACCATTGGTTTGCTATCGTCTCGGTGTCATTGTCTGTAAGAAGGTCAGTACAAATCTATATTGAAAACCTGAAGACACTCAAAACTGACCTTCCATTTCAAGGGCAGTTGCCAATACTGACAGTTTACCTTGCATGTTCAGGGCCCATTTGACAGCTTGCCTACATTCACGACCGATCCGGCGTATCTCATCGTGAGAATGACTCAAGTCAAGGTAGGCTCGTATCCCGTCTCGAGTGTCCGGATCAACCGCCCAAGCCTCCCCTGGATGGGTCAGTTGACCGATGTCCCAAAACGGATCAGCACCTGTGGCTACCCGCCCCTTCGGACACTAGCCAATAGGAAACGGGCCATTCCTATTGGCGACAAGCCGAAGACCCCCCTTCCGACACGCCGACGCGGCCGCCGCGTCGGATTCACAACTACAATAACACAAGTTCACACATGGATTTTAACATTGCCAACATTTATCACCACGTAAACATAGTATCACCATACTACTATCAAGACATAGAACACCTGCATACAAAATTACCCAACGCTTCAAGATGTTACATAAGAAGCTGTCACACAAGTGTGATCTCCAGTCACACGTGGTGTGAATCTCGGTCGCACATGTGTGATTTTGGGTCAAACTTGTGAAATTACGGAATTGCACAACCCCTTTTTCACACATGTGTGATTTTTGCCCACACATGTGTCACTCAAGCTTGAATTGCGTTTAGCCATAAATCACACGTTTTACATCTGCATATGTACAACCCTTGTCACCCATGTGTGATTAATGGCTACACGCAATCACAAAATGGTCACACATGTGTGATCGAGACTCACATATGTGTGAGCGTTGATCACACATGTGTGATCAAGGCTCACACATGTGTGATCTTGGATCACACATGTGTGATCATGGATCACACATGTGTGACCATTTTTGAGCTATAGACTGTACATCACATACATATACTAGTGATTTCAGTTAAAACTTGTGTCAACAAGAGTCACACATGTGTGACTTCAACTGACATGTGTTACTGTCATATCATCTAAATGAGTAACATACATTTGAAAAGTCAAATTACATCATCACACATTTGTGAACGGCAATCACACAAATCAGAAAAGAAATCACACAGGTGTGAATAGAAATCACACATGCGTGAATTGAAGTCACACACATGTGTGAACAGAAATCACACACGTGGGAAAACTAACTACCACGGTTCAACTACATACACTTCTTGTGATTCCAACCTTTGAACATTGGATCCCATTCTCACGTTTGTAACAAACTTTTGTGCATTCACCTCACAAGACTTTTAAAACACAAATTTCTTAGCTAGCTATTCATATTATCATCATCCACAATACCCTCCCATTCATCATTATCTTCATCATCATGGATGAAGAGCTGATCTACCATTCCACCTAGCTCTTCCCCAAAATCATTTTCATCTTCCCCGTGAAGCATATTTTGCTCAAAATCTTCCAGCTCATCAAGATCAGTGGATTCTATATGTTTGGCATTGATAATCTCTTCCAATAATGACTGACCCCTACCCACCAAACTCCTCCAGCGCTGAATCAATGTATTAATCTCTTGCTCTGTCACCATTGTGTGGCGATAAGTTCTTCTTAATAACTCCACAATATTTCCATCCCAATTCATCCATGTCCCATAATGCTTCTGACAAAGATTGCTGTGAAGCGCTTTCAAAACCCCCAAATTCACCTCCCAAACATCCTTTGAGATGCGCTGACAGGGCTGAACTAATTCAATTAGCTCCTTTCCACCTCCTTCAGGATCATAATCTTCAAAATCAAGGTCATGGTCATTATCAGAAACTTCACACGCACATATCATTATCAAGCAGAACTTACCACCACTACACAAAGCTAGTAAACCATCAAATTTTAATTCCATATTCAGTGCTTGGTGAACCATCTGCTGAGCCTCCCTTCCAATCCTTCTAAGCTCTAATTCACAACAACTCCGCTGTTGCAAAAAAGCTTGTATGCCTTCAATGGTTTGCGCATTCACAGCCCATTTCTCCGTGGGATGTGTAAGCGCACCTACATTCCAGAAATTATCCTCAAACGGGAGTCTCTTGGCTTCATCAAGGGACCATGCGGCTGACAGGGCGGATTCGGTTGTATAGTGAGACTTGATCTTCATATGAAGTCCATTTGCGTTTGAACATCAACTGTTTTTTCGTCATCAGAGTTTTCATACCCTGTTGAGCTTTGGTTCCTGCAGTGTTTCAAATGTAAACATTCAATCATCAATCCACCATAGAAAAAAGGAACTGAACCCAAAAAAGAACATTACCTTCAGCGTACTTATCCCACTTCTTTTGAGCCTCTACAATACCCACTTTGGCTTCATATAGCTTCATCTTGGCAAGGCGCACACGTATCAGAGCCTCTGCTTTTTTACCTGAGATAAAAAAGCATTTTTCAGCGGAAGCCAAAATTACATTGGGAAATAAATGGTACACACCAGTTGATGCACGAAGGCGGCGGAATTCCGGACTTCCTAACTCTTCTGTCACATCGGCGATAGACTTCTCCAGTTCAACAATTGACGCTGGTAAGGTCAATGATGATTCAACTTCATCATCTGTCCAATTTCTTCGTCGTTTCCTTCGAAGTCGTCGGAGTTCATCACTATATTATAGGAATAACATCTGATCAAACTAGATTCTTTGACGGCCCACTTTTAACAAAGTATCCAACGTACTGGGCATCTTTCACCTCCGCCTTGAGGTCCAGTAGCTCCACCAACCGATCCCCTAGTTCCTGCTGAGCATTACCATCCGCCATTGCAGCAAGTTGCAACTGTCTTTGCCGATCCCACTGGTCCGAGAAATATACCCATGTATACGACTCATCTTGACTCTCTAACTTTTTGAGAGTCTCAGATGCAACATCCAACCGCTGTTCAGCTGTCTTCAGCTTCACCGCACATGACCGCGCTAGAGATATGAATTGAAATTGAAATTGAGCTCAGGAGGTTTATTAAAGATAAAGATTGCGTAAACATACCAGCATTCCTGCATCGCATATCATTGCAGTGACTTGACTTTAAATCAATCATATCTACTCAATGTTGTTTTGTCGAGCATCGACAAGGAGCTATAAGTGGATCAAGGTCTGACCAATCCCGCTCTAAACCCTCGCCATCCGACAAACCCCAACCCTTGTTCAACCTGGGATTATATTTAAGTTGACAAGTCCACTCGTGAGCATAAGCGTGAAAGGCACTCGTTGCAAATCTGATATCTCCCTGTGCCACCTCTTCTTCAAAGTATCTATGCTGTCAAATGAAGCAAAGTTCTTCATTGTACGATAAAAAAATCATGGAGGAGACAAAGCCAAATACCTTCTTAACACTTTTTTCCAAGGTACATCCGATGTCATATAAGATTTGAAAGCTTTTTGGAGGCTTTCCACTTTCAGCCGTATCTTTCATTAGCTGATCAAGCAGTGCAAGTACATAATACTGACTGTTAAACAATATCAATCAATTCAAACACACCCATTCACAAGTTTAAGAGTTTGGAAAGCTTACCGCTCTCCACTTTGAATTACATTCACAAATTTCAGCACATGGTCATGTTGACATGCAAGTCCAATCAGACCTGTTTCATCACATCCCTTCCATGTTGATCTTCCCTGAATGTCTCCTGCGGCTGTGTGCGAGACTGAACACCGATCCTAAAACAAAGTCTTAACATATCAGCCGGATGAAGCCCAATAGAAATCACAACATTGTGACGAAGACTCACAATTGTCTGACTGACAATCACACAATTGTGACGGAGGCTCACAATGCTGAGACAAAGACTCACAATTGTGTGACATAGACTCTCCATTTTCAGGTCTCCTTTCCGGGAGACCAGGAAAGACGAAGAGGTTTACCCTCATCTTGTCTTTCAATGCTTGGCGCACTAGGTTTCGATGCCAAGTGTAAGACTTGCTCCATAGGAGTGAGGCTTACAAGGCTGCGGGCGTAAGCCTAGCGTGGCCTAAATCTCACAAGATGTCTCTAAGGTCATCTTGTGAGAGTTCATAGAAGGTATCTCCCCGAAGAGAGAGGGCTGGGACCTTTGAACCCATATCAGGGAACAAGGTTTGAAGAGCCGAGACCCTGCCAAAAGGGTCTCAGCCCCAATCTCTTCGGGACGAGTTACGATGATACCAACCACGCACGCGTTTTTATTTAAAACCAAAGTAAGGTACACTACATTAACATTGAAAAGCATTGGGCAAAGAGAAACAGGTACAACAATAAGACAAACAACAAAAATGCTCTTAAAAATTTTATGCGCAATGCAAACGGTGAAGTAAAGCTAGTGTAGCACGAACATTGTCACGACTGTACTTTCTAATGTAGCATTTATAACATGACGACTTCCATCTTCCGGAGCGTTTCAACGCTCGCACCGAACTACCCATCGCAGCCTTGAAGGAAGCCCCTCCAATTCTCAAGCTGTGGCCTGACCACACTACGTTATCAATAGGCTTGTGTCGACGAAGGAAATTCAACACTGTGACTCTTGCAATCGGGGACTGGTGGTCACTTGCAGGGAATAGTGGATCGTTGGGGTTGCCTGGCACCTTGACCAGCAGTGTACGCAGTGCCGTTACAGGATCGAGAGCATTCGGTTGCTTGGACAGGCGTAATAATTGAATTTCCCCCGGTGCCGCCGTTTTTGCCAACCGCAGCCTTATTTCAGCTCTGTTGTAGTTGCTGCTGAAGGTGACATCTTTCCGACGTATGAAAACACCTGGATGGTCGATCGAAAGGGTGAGTTCACCTAATCTTGCTAAACCCCAGAACCCCACCAGAATCAACGCATTCATTACTATGCCAGATGTAGTGAAGTTGCAGAGACGGCTCGTCAGTCTGTGTACGTCCATTAGAGTTAATCCGGCACGTCTCGATTCCTTTTTCCTTTCTGTTTTCTCGGCTGCTTTCAACAATAAGCGCAGTCTGTCTTCATTGATATCTGGAAATTCTTCATCGTGTAACACATGCCACATTCGTAATCCAGATAAATACCTCCTGGTCGTTCTACCTAAGACCACGTCCCCAGACTCATTATCTCTGCACCAGGACACAAAAGTATAGATTGAAAAAGTTGTAGCTGGGAACGGCGCTGGTAGTTGTGAGCGGAAATACTTGTTAACGGCGGCTGCGTAGTGTCGTACGGTCGATGGAGCCCACCCGTTATTGAGAATGAAGTCGCTTTCCGCATCGAGGTCTTTAAGCACACCGAGTGAAATTTGTCTCAGAACATCTCGAGCTAACATTGTTCAGATTGATGGTTAGGAAGTGTATGTAGATTTTTGACAGATTTAGGAATAACTTGTATTAAAAGTGGGATGAGATCGTTTGGGAGTTCAACTTCGATCATATCCCTATTTGCTTTTGAGCTGTTGAGTCCACGCGATAATTTATTGGCGTCATTGTCGTTAGATATCACCCGGACCAGGTTGAAGTCACATTCGGTTTGAATCAACAAATCTTGCACTCGTTTCCATTCGTCGTTTACCCAAGGGTCCCTTGATTTCCGGTTCCTAGCCGCTCCTTCGGTCGTTGTGTTATCAGTCAGACACGAGAAAGTGAACCCCTTAACTTCCACCTTTTTCATCAGCATAAGCAGTCCTAACCGAACCGCCACGGTTTCGGCCCAGGCGATTGTCCGCCTTGGCTTACCAATAGGGTTGGACCAGTCTGGTAACCACATGAACTGGGCCCATGACTTCCCAATAATGATGCCAATTCCGTAGCTGGAAGAGGCATCACCAACCCATCCAACGTTTTTTACTATGTAATCGGGAATTAATCTTGTAGGTTCCAAAGTTTCTAAACAACTTTTCCAGTAAGTAATGTCCTCTCGCACCTCTGTTGGCATTCTTCTCAGACCCGGCGTTTTCCACAAGGCCACCCACTTAAAGTTCTCTACCAAATACGCTTTCAACTGAGGTAAGATGAGCGTTAAATGACCCAACTTACCGTTAAATTTTTCAACTTCGCGCTTTTTGAATAAGTCTTTAGCTAGGAAATCGTTTATCTCGTTCATTTGTTTGTTCAATTTCTTGATAGGAAGAGTCACAGTTTTCAATTCCGAATTCCAGAGGAAACCAATAAACTTCTGTTCAGATGAGAATTCTGAGTATTTCGTGACGTTTGTTTTAACCCCCAAGTCTTCACTCGCTTTCACAATATCTAACATTGAAACCGGTGATGATGAGTCTTTGATCATTAAGTTATCATCGACCCATCTAAACGCTTCCACCAGATTAAATTTTCTTTTCATCAACTCTTTCCATCCATCTGCTGGGCCTCCAAATGATCCGCATCCAGCTACACCCCCAAACGCAATCCTTACATCTATATAAATAGCACCGTTGAAATCTCTAATCGCCAAATATGGCCATTGGGAAGGGTGAGTCGGGATCTGTCTATAAGCCCCCTCCCAATCGAAAAGCCCTATTTGCACCCCAATGTTTAGAGTTCTGAAGAATTTCGCTACTACTTTAAAATCATCCCAAGTCGTCTTGAATTTATCTTTGTCCACGAAAGAATTAACTGATGGTATATCTTCATCGAATTTTGGAAAAGACATGTCATTAATGGGGCGGAAACTACCATCTCCATTAATTACAGCTCCCAATGGACTGGTTCAAAAAATCCAAGATTGTTGAAAACTTCTAACTCTGAAAAGGGTCCGTACATTCTTCCAGCCTGTACTTCCTTTTTAATACTGTCTTCTATCTTTTTTCTTGCATCCAAGGCTGATTTGTGATTGGGCGGTGAAAAATAATTAAAACCTTCTAATTGATGTTTTGGTATTCCTTGATGGAAACCTTCTATAAATCCATCCAACAAGTACAAGTAGTCAGTTATTAAACCGTATCTTTCTAGTTCTTGTTCCCAAACTTTTGCATTCATTTCACATTTAACCCTTGAGGGCCAAACATGACGCTTGTCAAAAATTTTCATTGGTACTACTGGCTCCTCACTCGATAGTTTCCTTTTAAGTGTTATCCTATTATATTTCAAACAACATTTACTCACTTAGTACATATTTAACATAATACATTCATTTCTATTACAAATCGGAAGGTTAAAGCAGGAAAAAAGACTAATCGAACAACAAATAGCTCACACTCTGTCTTTAGACGTAGATTGTACCTGATCTGCCTTTCCAGTTTTATTCTTTTGATAATTTTCATCATAATTATTACCCTTATAGTGTGGGTTAGGATGTTGTTTACCCTTTCCTTTTTCTTCTTTACTATAAGGTGATGGCGATCGTCTGAAAGGTTTCTGTTGGTTCTGATTCAACCTTCTATTGTTATTGTAAACTTTCTGAAAACCCGGAACCTTCAAGAATGATTTATCGTCCTCGACCTCTACTTCCAAGTCTGTCGAGTTGTGGTTTTTTCCTCACGGATATCTATCTCCCGTTATTGGACTAAATCTTTCTCGCTCATGGCCTCTCGCGTATGCTAAATTCACACATTTAATGAGTACATATTACAAAAATATCTTAGCTATCAAAGCTTACGATTATCATATTTCATTATTCTTCCATCTCTTAACAAATTAGTTCTAGCTAAGGCGTCCTCTAAGAACTCTTCTCTTTTAACCAAAGGGTCACCCGGAGCGTCGTTAACGTGGTTGCACATGACGTCTGTTCTAACGGCGATGTCGTATCTGAAGGCAGTAACCCAACCATGTCTAACACTTAGTTGTTGAACATAATCGAAATGCTCTTGTAAGCTGTTCATCGAAAGATAAGTTTTAATCCCCCAGTTAGTTAAATTAATTCATGTTATTCTTTTATCAAACAACTGCTTACTCCTTTGCGAAATCAATGTGTTTGTAATGGACTCCTACATATTTCACCATTAATTGTCTAGCTCAAGTCCATTCTGCAAACGACAGATACCACTCGTTCCTTGGTACTTGACCAATTATCTTATCTTTCTTCTTTGATGTGTTGTTTGAAGATACCAACTTATCTAATTCGATCCACTCCTCATTAAAAATAGTCAAAGGTAGGTGATAGTCTAATTTTTTCAAATGACTATCCCAAAACTCATTAAAGGCTCTTAGACCTGATCTCGAAGTTTCACCTTTCTTATAGTTCTTTAAAGGGTTTATGTCGTCTGTAGATTTCTTGTCTTTTGAATCTTCTGTTGTATCCATGGAATTTAAGATTTGTTCTAAAAGCTTGCTATTGTTGCTCGCTAGCGCTTCCTTTGCTTGTTCAATCAAAAATTCTAAAACACATTAACATCCAGTTAGTGTCACTGTCCGTACTTCTTATAATTTAAGAGTGAAAGATTTTAGAAATCCTTTCCGACAGTATGTATTAAAACGTAAACTCGTTACTTGTTTTAACTTTTGAATCGTAACTAATGTTACTTGATTCATAAGAAGTTGAATAGTCGCAGTTCAGAATCAACTGAACTACTTGACTAACATCGCAGGCTTCTGCTTGATGTAAATGACCTATACGCGGTTCTGACTTATATATTCAACCTATCATTTGACTTATATATGGTCATGATACATTGGAATTTCATTATGAATAAATTAAGCTAATGAGTGAAAAGAATTGAAAAGTCATGATGCTAACTTGATTTATTGCTGCTTGACTTTTGGTTTACGTTTGATAACTTTTGAGATTCTTCACTCGAGTCGTCTGATGATAAAACCAATTCCTTTTGTTTCATACTTTCAATCGTCATTAACTCTTCATCTTCAGTAAGTTCTCTTCTGTTTCTCTCTTCTTCATCTTCTCGTTCTATTCTTTCGTTTTCTTCCAATGTTGTTTCAATCTGAAATTCTTGTATAAACTCATCTGAATTTGGTGGTGTCGGTTCTGGTGTGAATTTGGGTACTAAACCTAAATTTCTTCTGCTAGTCCTCATCGTTCAAATAAGTTCGAATAAAAACTAGGTCTCAAACCGGAATTCTTGAGGAGGAGATGAGAGAGAGTGAGGACAAGGAGTGAGAGTTCTGAACGGGACTTCAGAAGGGGATAAGCTACAAGCTAGGTGAACTGCATGAAGTTTCATGAGGTGATTTCTCATCCAGGGCTTGGCTCATCAGCCATCGCCAGGGCCGTTTCAACTGCTCATCGTCTAAGAGCGCGTGTCTAGCTGTCACGCTTGTGTAATCTCCTCAGGGGAGACCTTTACATGGACCGCGGGCATTCCTCGTGCCTTTGTCATAACTAATAAACAATGGTGTGACTGACATTCACAACATTGTGAGCGCCCGTCACACAATTGTGAGTCTTTGTCACACAATTGTGAGTCTTTGTCACACAATTGTGAGCGCCCGTCACAACATTGTGAGCGCCCGTCACACAATTGTGAATGTCAGTCACACAATTGTGAGTCTTTGTCACACAATATTAAATGGAAGCTACATACCGCAGGTTCTTTAGTCCGTCCTTGGTTGCTTACACGTTGCTCCCACTCGTCAATCTTCTTGGGATCCAAGAAAAGAGGTGGAGTTTCCATTTCTTGTTCCTCATATTCCCGGCTTGCTGCAAGATGTCTCCGGTGTTGGAAGTTGCCATCTGTGCACACATGATAATCACATTCGTCGGGTATATCATTCAGCTGAAGTGGACCAAAGCATCTTGGGCAGTTCATGGCCAAGACATCCAATGCTGAGAGATACAAAGCACATATAGTAAGTTCTTTCTCCTTTCGCAGCATATAACGAAATGCATCAATTGCTGAAGAAAGTGTCGTTCTCCATCGTCTAGGCTGGTTTGTTAAATGCATTATATGTTAGGTTCCCAATATTCCTTCCAGAAAAATATATAATAGCGCTCACTTGTTTGGATTTTTTGACCAAAATTGGTGGACAAGCCGGATCAAGAAAGGAATCCAATGCAAGTGCAAATCCTTGAGTTCTTACAGTGCAAAATTTCCACAGTGCATGATGCAGCCGCAACAGCCGGATTGAATATGCTATCTGTGGATGTACAGGTGAACCACCAATGTACCCCATTCTCATTAAACGAACCTGATCTGAAGTACAATCACAAAATTGTACTTCGTCCTGCTTACGACCTTTATTAAAGTCGCAACATCACCTGTCAAAAAACTTTGATAAAATGAATAAGACCAAGATAGCTACGCACTTAGGATGTCTAGCATATCAACCTTGCGAGTCCGTAGTTTTCCAACTCCACAGCAGCAGCCATGGTTAAAATCGTGATCCCACCTTGACGTATCACCCCAATTTAAGGTTTTTGGAGATAAAGTCACATAGGCTATGAACATATCCGGTAAATTCTTTGCCCAATTTGCCTTTTCAGCTAATCTTTTGCTTTTGTAATAAGACCCTCGGACATAGTTTGAGAATGTGGTGTTTTCATCTGGTGGTAACTCCCCTGGCTGATCATCAGTGTCCTGCTGGTATGTAATTATATTCTTGTTCTCGTATTCCATTTCCATGATATCTGGCCCATGTTTGGCACGTGCGTTGACCGCACCTTGTACTTCAGGTGAAATTCCATTTCCCGCCTGCTCAAGTGCTAGTTCGAGTGCTTCTATGTGATCTTTCACGTATCGAGCTTCACTGGTTTGAACTGCTGCAACAATAATTCCAGAGCCTTCAGCAGCTGGTGGTTTGCGTTTCTTTTTCTGAGTTCCACCTAAAGGACAAGGTACTGAGTTGCCCTTCTTGCCCATTGGATGTTGAGTATATTGATTTGGATGTGATAACGATTAGAATGATGTGTGTGGACAACTAAAAGACAAAATTTGAACGGGAATCGCTTGAAGGGGACAGCAGCCTACGCCTACTGTTGGGATAGTCCTGCATGACTTTTAATTCTTTATGTAAAAGTCCTGTGAGACTAACCCATGATACGTAGAATCTAAGTGTGTGCTCAACAAACATATTACATCATGTGAAAACCGTTATGTAAAAGTTTCACTATATAAATCCTACTGGAGCAGTCAAGGAAAGGTGCTTCTTCTTCACCTTTCCTTTGTCTCTTTCTCTGACTGTTCCAGGTAGGATTTCTCTCTGTTTTCTGTTTCTCTGTTTTTTGTCTGATTTAGTCCGTGAAATTTACACACCTTTCCTTTGTCTCTTTCTCTGACTGTTCCAGAGCTCAAGACCTACCACATTTTCTTTTTTCGAAAAGGGGCACAGACTCAGTGCAATCAGCCTGAAACGGACAGATACTCTCCCCTGTCTACCAAGAATGGCAACTCTCCACTACTTCCAGACGTCCGTCCCAGTTGAAATTGATAAAACTGGGACGGACGTCTGGAAGTAGTATTCCTCCCCATTGAACTTGTATCATTATTGAACATCAAAAAATATACAGAAACGAGTGGAATCGATTTCAGCTACTAGGTGATCACAGATGAAGTGTTTTCTGCGATACAAGGATAAATCAAATCCTTCATCCAATCTCATACATTCTCTGACCTTGGCACTTGCACGTGATAATCAAGGTGTAGCATGACATGTAGTCCCCATTTTATCACGTGCTAGACTGTATCGCACCTGCCCCCCATTTGTTGATTTCATTGATTCAAGATTCTTGTATGCCTAACTCTCCCTCGGCACAAGTTACATCCTCACTCATTCACCATATCACTCCCTTCGTCAGTTTGGCGGTCTCATCTTAATCTCGATACGATGCCATACCCTCGAGCTTCAGTCTCCAAATTGAAAACCACCCGCTCCAAGCGCAAAAGCCACACTGTATCTAGATCAATCGTGTCGAAGACCAGGTCAACAAGGTCCAAAATCACTCGGAATCCAACCTCACAATCCCGACGCCGAGAAGTGTTGACCGCGGAAGAAATGGCTCTTGATGACGAAGAAAATGAGTTTGGCGCAAATGGTAAGCATCTTTCAGTCAGCACTAAGGTCCTTTATTAGTGTTGTTGCGGATGGGCGAGATCTCATTAACTTACAAACCAAAACCCAATTACACCCCCTCTACATCGCAGGCAACAACCAAGATCAGGACGAGGAAATCGATGACAAGGATGATGGTGAGCTGAAACAATATCCACAAACATCCTGCACATGATTCGATGGTATTAATATGCTTTTCCTTGGAGATACAGACACCGAAATTGATACGGAATCCATCATGGCTCGGCTGGCGAGGCAATTCTCACCGGAGCAAGAAGGTTCTGGGGAAGTCCCAGATGCTACTTTAACCAACCCCCGACTCCCTCTGCGTTCTTCAATCCTTCAAACGGCGGATGATGCTGAAACGGTCCTACCTACTGGAACCTACACCCAACGACCTGAGCGTTCATCAAACGTTCGACCGGAGGACGATGCTGAAACGGTCCTACCTACCGTTGACAACTATAAACAGCTAGTTGATGAGTGGCCTCCAGCGCGTATAGCTGTGCAAGACCGATTGCAAAAGAAGAAGCGGGCGGCGGTTCCTCCTAAAATTTTAACTGAAGCTCGTGCGATTCAAAACCTTTACAAGCAACATAAGTCGCTGCTTGCAATCATGGGCAATTTCAGTACTTTTACGTTGAACAAAGCATTGTAAGTGCTATCTCATTTATGATATCTAGCACTGTTCAGCCGTCTGATATGGTTCTTTGACAGGGGGGAACTTGGAGGTCGCCGACGACCAAGCGGTTATCAAATCTGGTTGAAGTTCGGCAAAGAGATTGAAAAACACCAAAAGCGAAGTGAGTTTGCTAACTCTTACAGTTATAGTTTACCTCACTAATGCTATGGACGTTTCATTACTAGTGCCACGTAAGTGGGGGCAGAAAGGTGTCTTAGCTTCTCGCAATAAGATACTTGGCAAGATATGGAGCGGACTTCCTTATGAACATAAAGAGGTATTTTCCCCTCCTGTTTTTCATGCTCTATCTGGACTGCATTATTTGCAACATGGCAAGAAACTCGAACCCGATGAAGATGAAAAAACGGATGCAATTGAGTTTGAGCCTGGGGAGCGTGAAATGTTACAGGCTTTGTATGATCAGTTAGTTTGGAAGGAAAAATTTGCTAAAGAATATTCAAAGGCTACAAAAGGTGTCGCCTCCGGTCCCTCTTTGCCTGATTACAACCGTCAGTCCCTTAAAAGTATTGAACGTCTTCAAAATCAGGTACGCTTTTTCAGAATCCAATGGTTTTTTATGATGTTCAATGTACTTCGCTTTCATTTGCTGATCCGTGTCTTGTGAACAGATCGAGGATGAGTCAAACAACATGGGCTTTGACTACTACCTGCTAGCATGTAGCAAACACAGTTCGACCGAAGTTTCCTCATCTTCAAGAGGCTGGTGTAGAGAGTATACATCAATAGAAGAGATGGAGAAATATGTGAATAAGAAGTCTAATTTTGCTACAATGTTTGCAGCAAGGGCTCAAGGGCTTTCTGTTGGGGAAATCGTAGCTGAAACCATTGGGGGCAATGGTATCACAAAGGAGAAGGCCCGAAAAACTGATCCGGGTGATAAAGTGAAGTCCGATCTTGCTCTTGCGTTGCGATCCCGTATGAGTAAGTCCAGCTCCCTTATCTCTTCTGTTTTCTTATACTGATATGCTTCTGATACAATCAGAGGCTTTGCTTGGATTTGAGGTCGGTTTTCCACGAGGACCGGATCCGGAATCCATCTTACTCGACAAATACAATATCAAAATTATCCAGATGCATGCTTGTAAATTGCCACATGAGACTTTGAAGCTAGGATTCAACGCTATGAACAGTCGCAGATCTTTGTGGCTGGATGATGTTAAGGCTAATCTTTTCAAGTTAGAAAAGTTTGACACCGGTCATGAGCAAAATGATGATGATAACAGAATGGATTTAGATGAAGAGGTCACTAACACCCAAGACTTAGCTATTGATGACGAAGTGGATGAAGATGAGGAATGGACTGGATTGGGGGATATGGAATGACCTCAGAATATATATATATCCGTCCTTTTTTTGATGTAGATTCTTTGAATCATTCTACACTTACATGTGATATTGGTATGGTCATATACTAGCATGCCCTGATGATTTCATATGAGATCATAATCATGATTAGTTTGTTTTCATTCCTTACTTTGTATTTCACATTCTATGCGGTTAGATTGTTTCTTTGAAGCTTCATTCTAGTTTATTAGTGATGCTTGTTTTGCTTTGTGTTCTGATAACTCATGAAGCCAATATTGTAAACATTGAATATGACGGTACTACATCACGCCTAGTAAGTTCGTGGTAAATGTAAGTACTTTGAACAATAAAAGATAACTCAAGAAGCCAGCATTGGAAATACTGGCTTCTTTAATTATGAAAGTACTGCGTCAATCCTAGTCCTTGAACATTGAAAGAAACTCAAGATACCAATATTTGAAAGAAATATTGGCTAGAATGAAAGTACTTTCTTTTATTTATGGAAGTACTTGCATGATTACCATCACTTCTACTACTTGAAAATTGAAAGAAACTCAAGAAACCAATCTTGGAAAGAAATATTGGCTAGAATGAAATTACTAGATACCTTGTTTACTCCAACACGGTTGATGTAGTACTTACTTTGCAACTAAAAGTCCTTTTAACAAAGAACTTGGATTGTTACCATCACTTCTAGTACTTCAATATAGAAAGAAAATCAAAAAACCAATGTTGGAAAGAAATATTGGCTAGAATGAAAGCACTAGATACCCTGTTTACTAAAACACGGCTGATGTAGTACTTCCTTTGCAAATAAAAGTAGAAAGTACTAATGAAAGTACTTGCATGATTACCATCACTTCTAGTCCTTGAACATTGAAAGAAACTCAAAGAACAAATATTGGAAAGAAATATTGGCTAGAAAACCCAAGGACTTGCATGATTACGCCACAACTTTTTCCCTTTGCGCACCACAACAAAAGTGAGTGTATATTTGGAATCAGGCATGTTGATTTAACCTATGACACACCTTTCACATCATCCGGAACCGGGTGACTTTGGGAAATTGAGTATCATCATATTTGGACACAGTACCACGCATACCTGTTTTCAAATGCATCCTTTCACCACAACTTTTGCACTTTGCGCGCCACACCAAAATTGAGTGTATATTTGGAAACCGGCATGTTGATTTACCCTATGACACACCTTTCACATAATCCGGAACAGGGTCACTTTGGAAAATTGAGTATCATCATATTTGGACACAGTACCACGCATACCTGTTTTCAAATGCATCCTTTCACCACCACTTTTGCACTTTGCGCACCACACCAACATTGGGTGTATATTTGGAATCAGGGTGCCAATTTGGATTCAGGAATATGTATTTACCCTCTGACATACCTATCACATAATCCAGAAAAGGTTATCTTTGGGAATTTGAGGTTCATCATATTCTGACGCATACCTGATTTCAAATGTATAATTGCACCACAACTTTTGCACTTTGCACATGTGTCTTTCAAGTCAAATTCTTTCATAAATTATAGGCAAGCTGACATAGACATAAGAGTGTAATGTTCAAAAGATTAGTATATCAGAGTACTACACTTTCCGTAATGATCTGAACATACAACTCAGCATTCAACATAAGCTGGTATAAGTGTAATACATTACTACATAATACATTACTACATAACTCTCTCCTTTCAACTGTTCACCAAAGTCAGCATTCATCACTTCAACAAATGCAGGTATATGTTGAGCAAGGAACAGTGTGCGCGTGAATATGGAACATCAGGGATATTCCTCTGAAATATCCCTATTTATTTAAGAGAAATATTACTGGAATAACCAAAGATGAATCACATCTGTTAATGCATAAATTTGCTAACTAAATCTAAATCTAAAGTTGTCAATTTTACTAAATTAACACCAAGGTTACTATTTAATAAAACAAACTACACAATTAAACCACTTGGATACAATAAAACAAGCCAAGTCATCTATCAATCTCATTTGATAATGAAAACAAAGTAAGCTCAACCACCGAATCAATGTAAGCTCCTTTGCCAGTCCAGTCACCAGTCATCTATCATTTTCAAGCAAGTATTAAAGGAACGTAAGCTCATCTGCCAAATCACGTGATCAACTTGATTGGGAACCGTGACGTACTCAGTTGCCTTTGGCCGGTATACCTATAACTTATACCGGCCAAAGTCATCATCTGGTTCCGAGCCACGTCTCAAGTCAATATAATTTGGAGCCTGAAGTAATCGATTCCTATTTGAGGTCATCCAACGAGTGTTAAGGAATTTTCAGTATATATTCGCTGCAGAGCCTGTGTTTTAACAGAGTAGTTAGTAAGTAGTTAGTAAGGATCCAACATATGGGTATTGATTCACGTACTTGTACATCAAAATCAATTCCCGACCATAACCTTTCCAGGCCCTCTTCACAATCATACGGACCGGTCCTCCGTGCGAGATACCTCATAAAAGCGTATCTCACAAAAGGATTCGTGATGTAGTTGTAAGCGTTTTGGTTTAGCTTACTAGGACGTGGGTAAAGCAGAGATAAAGCTCGGTTCGCTTGGTCGTCCTTGGAATGGGAGTTGCTCATTATCGCGATATTGCTGTGTGTGGATGGAAGGAAAGTTGGATGTTATGTACACATCAAATAAAGGGCAAGGGTCAAGTTAAGTCCGAGGATACTTAACTTGTCCCTCGGCCTTAACCCTAACCCTACAGATAATACTGTGTACCACCTTGTCCACGTATCACTCCTCATCCTACTGGTTACCTTAGCCGCCCCCGGCGCACCACTTGAACCAATCGATTTGATTATCCAAACGAATCGGATCACCACCGGACTCTCTTTCTTAGTAAGTAGAAGCATTATCCAATCGTTTCGAATCACCACCGGCCTCTCTTTCTTAGTAAGTAGAAGCATAAAAGTATGACCTTTTGAAATTGGCTAATCAAAGAATTGCCTATGATTAGGATAATAGCAGGTGGTTTTTTTGACCATTATCGTTGATCGTTATCAAAATCAAGTTGGGATTTCAGTTGGTCACATGGTAAGTCATTTTGACATGATTGCATGTATTCGATTTCACTCATGTTCGATCTGAATGATGCCCAGCCACTTCAGTCTTTATATTCGCCTCTTTTGTATCGAACTCAAACGTGATTAACTGGGAAACGAACGAGATCCAGATAATCTTTATATTCACCACTTTTGCATCAATATCAAACGTAATTGACTGGGAATCGAACAAAATCAAGTTAAGATAGAACTAGAATTAGTAAAATCGATTTCATTGGTAAACTAGCAGACGAATCAAGAAGGTTCCAAACTGACTTCCAAAATGATTTGATTTTACACCTGACCCAAAGTTTAGATAGGTTCCATTGGATCAATAGCGATACCATACCCATTCTTTGCTGGAAAAATCGATTGATTTCACCTGATTTCGAAGGACCCGGCTTTAAACATATACCAGTGGTTAAACCTCAGGCGGTAAGTTTTCAATGCGGAATCCACTTGATCTATGGCACTGTAATATATTCTTGCCCTTTATGAGCCAGTGTATGGGTATAGGAGATTGGCAGGATGGCATAGATCCCCTCTGTAAAACGTGAAATACATCCTGTTATTCTCCATATCCAGACCCTGGCTTATAGGGGTGACATTTCGGCCAGGATATAAAATCTAATTTATGATGATAATGCGAACTGACTATACCTTTCTGGCATCCGTTGATTCAAGAACTCGATCGATTTCACCTGATTTCGAAGGACGCCGGCTTTAAACATATACCGGTGGTTAAACCACAGGCGGTAAGTTTTCAATACGGATTCCACTTGATCTATGGCACTGTAACATATTCTTGCCCTTTATGAGCCAGTTTATGGGTATAGGAGATTGGCAGGATGGAATAGATCCCCTCTGTAAAACGTGAAATACGTCCTGTTGATCTCCATATCCAGACCCTGGCTTATAAGGGTGAAATTTCGGCCTGGATATCATTTATACATATCCAATGTCATCCAGTTGGTAGGGAAGTTTACTAACCGGATGTATCGATTTAACAATGTCCGACCATCAGGTCTGCTTAGTAGTCCTAATATGGGGACCGGTCTCCAACCTACCTGGCCTACTGATAGGAGGGATACGTTTGGTCCGGATACACGTGATTCAGGGTAGGCCATTACACTGGCTTAATCATTTTGGGTAGAATTATACTGATCAATTTCTACTATGCTGTAAAGGATTCATATACCCTTACCGGGTGTCAAATATTTATTGGATATTGTTAAGGAGTTTGATGTGAAACGGCAAACTGGCTATGCTGATGATGATGTAAGTTGCTAAGCTGTATATTAATAAAAGTATTATTGAACATGCTTCTACCACGTTATTAACACAGGTTCCTCGGCCGTTCACCTATCCGAAGTCATATTCACATGTCCCTCATGAATATCTGGCCCCGGATGGATTCCCCAGGATGGATTGTTGGCTACATCCAGCATGCGCTTTTGCCGTTCCGGCCACTGATGTGAAAGCCGCTAAGGGACCCCTTGTGTAGGTCATATCTTTCCTCCATCATAATATTTTATGGAGGAATAGCTCAAGATTTGGCTATTCTAGGCAACGGGCTCTGGACTATTACCGGGAACATCACTTCCCGGGTGTACCGGCACCTCGGCAGCCACGCCCGAAACTCAGCCAATGCCAAAAGCCGTGAGTTGTATGATATGTTTCCTCAGTCCAAATCAAACCCGAAACTAATGATGATCTATTCCTTTTTAGTCGACATCCTGGAAAGGGTACCAAGGTCAATACCGCGCGAAAGCAGGATCAGTCCGAGAACTCTGAAAACCGGCAAAGGAAGACCTACGATCGCTCTTTTGTCAGATTGGATGACCCAGTCCTGCCCTTTGAGGATTACGAGCGTGCTATGGAAATTATCTTCAATACCTACACAGTTATTACTCATGGCCGGAGTCAATTTGTGGATTGAGAATCCGACAAACTGATTTGCACCTTTGCTTATGAGGACTTCAAAACAATGTCTCCCGAGGAAAGAGAGTTACATCAGAAGGATGTTACTACTATCCTTATGTCCACTGAGCTTTTCAATCGTCTGCCTCTACCTAAGAGGCCAACCCGTTTGGAAGAGGCTTTATCGACTCCCTCACACCCGTTCCCACCACAGATGGAAACAATCGCCGGGAAACATTCCAATCGATCCAATAGTCCTCTTTCGGACTTGCCACCCTCAACTGATTCTTCGCCTCTCACCTCACTTCCACCATCAGATACGGAGGAGAGCGACTCAGAGCCACTTAGGGTACCATTACATACCGGATCACCACCCTCTTCGCCCCTCACATCTCTTCCGGCCTCTGAGACGGAGCAAGTTGAGCGTGATACGAATCCTCAGCACATGTTCAATATGCGTACGATGACGAATCAAGCCTCGATCAAGAAAGCTCTTATGAACATTGTAGGCAAGGTCCGACGGCCCAAATCGAAGCCAACAACCAACGCTGCTCTTATAAACGGTCATATGTATTGTTTTGGTCAAACAGTAGGGTATTCCAGCAACATATTACTATCAACTTACATGCCTAAGAAGGGAGCGTCTCGTTCACTCTACAAACTATTCCTTCAGCGACTCCCCAAGCTGGGTACTCGCATTGGATCCCGATTTAAAGGATTTTGCGACGAAGGCTTTGTCACAGCCCGAGAACTCCTGAACAAACTTAATGCACCTCCAATGGCATCAACTTTGAAAACCCAACCGGCTGCGGAAACAGATTTTTCTTCCAACATGGCTTTTACATTCTTAAACTTCTACAACAAGCCGCACGTTGATAACGACAAGGGTAAGGTGTACTGTTTGTGGTACCCAATTGATAGCGAGACGGGCAGGATTGTATGTGAAATGGAAGGATTTGAGTTGGAGGGTGGGTGGTTCATTTTCCCGGAGTACCGACTTGCCTTCAATTTTGGTGGCAAGTCTGCTGTGCAGATTTCTTGGGATGGTAAGACTACTCTGCATCATACTCTCCCGTCGAAGGAAAAGGATGTTGTGAGAGAAGGTAAGAAGGTACATTACACTCGCCTCGGCTGCTCCTCACAAATTACTTATCGGACGGCACGGGCAAGCGCAAAGCTGGGGACTAAGGATCAGTGGAACCATACATCCAACTGCGACCGCGAATTCAGGGATAGTGCTGATGTATTGAAAATGAAGGGGCGAAATCGGAAGCCATAAGGGGAAAGAATGTCCTAGCTATTGTTATCTTGATTTTTTTTTGAATGTGTTTCTCTTGTTTTGTTTTGCGTTAACAAGGATGATTTTCAATAGTAAGACACAAGAAATGTGTCCATATGATCTATGTTTGTCACATGTGCAATCAAAATTGTCATTTTGAAGATAATCACAAATGTGTGATTGATAATCACAAATGTGTGATTGATAATCACAATTGTGTGATGCAAAGTCACACTATTGTGATTCATAATCACATGTGACTTTTCATCACACTGTTGTGACTTTTCATAATCACAATAGTATGATTATGAATCACACAATTGTGTGATGAAAAGTCACAACAGTGTGATCTTGCTGCACCATTATTCCCTTGATATATAAAATAGTTAGGTAGGAAATGATATCATCTTGAATCAGTTAGACAACTTGATGTTGTCTTTGAGAGGACAAATGAGAAGAACTCACACAGATGTGTGATCCGGATGTGTGCCTATAGGCACACATGTGTGAATCCGAATCACACATCTGTGACAAACGTCACACGGTTATTTGTTAGAAACAGATGAGCAAAAAAAGCAAATAAAGCAAACAAAACAAAGTAAATGTGTAATTAACATTCTTTTTGATTATTGATGGAAAAGAACACACGCAGATGTGTAAATGATTCACATATCAATCACAAATGTGTGACTCTGAATCACAGATGTGTGATTCAGAGTCACAAATGCCTGAATCACACATTTGTGTCTCTGACTCACAAATGCCTGAATCACACATTTGTGTCTCTGACTCACACAGATGGTGTGATCCTGAGTTACACCGTGTGACATGTGTTTACACATGTGTGATTAGTGTTCACACATGTGTGATTAGTGTTCACACATGTGTGAATTGTGTTTACACATGTGTGATTACTGATTCACACATGTGTGATTAGTGTTCACACATGTGTGATCGCTAATCACACATGTGTGATTAGTGTTCACACATGTGTGATTGGTGTTCACACATGTGTGATTACTAATCACACATGTGTGATTATGTGTCATTTGTGATTCAGCTGTAGACCCAACACATGTGTGATTAGCAATCACACATGTGTGATTAGCGATCACACATGTGTGATTGGTGTTCACACATGTGTGATTTGTGTTCACACATTTGTGATCTACCCGCATTGACTACGTATATGTAGAAGGCCACTAAATCACACCTGTGTGACTCACTACGTATATGTAGAAGGCCACTAAATCACACCTGTGTGACTCACAGTTACACAGGTGTGACACGCGATCACTTACAATAACATGAACACATGTGTGATCCTACACTTGTAGGAATCACAACTCGTGTGACTCTCCTCCTCACTTCTCGTCTGATCTCCCCTTTCAAACTTTCCCATTCAAAAATGGACTCTACCAACGAAACCCCCACCACCGATCCCACATCCCATCCCGCCAATACCGTTACAAATGCCACCGAGACCAATACCACTGACTCCAATTGCACTGACCCATCCAATGATACTAACACCAATCCACCCTCATCTACGACCGATATCCCTCCTCCTGACGCATCAGGCACTTTCCCAACCCACACGGCAATCAAGCACCATTTCAAGTACCACGGCAACACCCATTGATACCCTGTTAGCTCCCTAGATTCCCGCGACACCTTCAAAACCTGGAAATGTGGCCTTGGACCCAATCGCAAACAAGAGAAGGCCAAGAAGGAAAACCCGAACCTCATAATACCCACCTGCAAATTCAAAGCCACCGCTAGACGCAACCCAGATGATTACACCTGGTACATCCGAATCGACCATTCACATCATGACCATGGACCGATCTCTGAATTCAAGCCCATGGATTTGCCTGATCTCTCAAAAGACAAGATTGAGACGAAGCCTACTACAAAAACTACTAAACAAAAGCGAGCCAAATCAATTCCAGCCCCACCAACCCAGACTCAACCTGCTCCGAGTACCTCTACATCTCAAATTCCATCTCAGTATCCCGTTCGTTTCCAAGCCTTGTTCGAAGATATGAAATCCCTTGATGAGTCTATTCAAAATGATCTTCTTGACCGATTCTTTCGTGATTGCGAGGTGGCTAAGGCAGCTAAGTCATTAAAAAAGGAAGTAGTACCTCCAGTAAGTAATTTTGTCTTCTCATGACTATATCGATTTACTAACCTCTTTTCTATTCAACAGCAACTTGAGCCTTCGCCCGAATCCTCCCCAATGAGGCAGACCGATCATATTGAAACCGAGCATGCCAACAAACCCACTTCTCAGGAAGAAGAAATCGAAGAGGAGCAAGATCCAGATATGGAGGATGATGACAATGATGACATACCTCCTAACTTGCTGATGATACAGAATAAGTCTACAAAAAACACCACTACATCTAAAACCCCGATTTCTAGGGAGGTCAGCATCCCTCGCCGAGCCACTCGCAGTGAGAACATCGACTCTTCGATAAGGACCACCCGCAAAACTTCATGTGGGAATTCACAAGCGAGTGACGTTGTAAGTTTGACACATATCTAAATGAACTTTCAATAATTATGAATTGATGAAGCCTTGCTCGTATCCTTAGAATGAGAACAATACCAAGACGCCAAGTGTTAGTCTAGTCGATCTAAAAAACAAATTAGTCAATTACAACCTGAACTCACCTGGTTATTTATTACCATTCAATCAGAACGAACCAAAATCAAAGAGGTTCAAGAAGACCAGTGGAAAGGTAAGATTTTCCAAGTGATATCGTGCTATCCTCCCCATATTGGCTCATCTTTATCTCTCATCATTTATTGACTAGCGTACCAAATCCATTACTAAAACTGCAGGAACCCACGAAGGAAACAAAGAGGACGACGAAATCACGAAAAGCCCAGAAGAAATAGTTTTACAGGTGAGCTCTTCGATCTTCAGTAAATGTTGTTCAATTATTACTAACCAATCAAATAGTGCTGGCCTTTTGTGATAACTCTTCCACGGGTAATTTACCCGTTTATTCAGAAAGCCACCAATGTACCCGCCAAGGGCCTCTGTACTTTTGCCGCAATAGCGGTCTTGCTTGGACGACCTGTGGAAGACACTGTGGCTGTTCGTGCAGAGCTTGCTAAACACGTCAATGAAAATCTATCATGGTATAGAAGTAATTTATGGAAATTAAGTACAAGCAAGATCAGTCTCAAAAGAATCCTCTCCATAGTGGAGCATCCAGCGGTCAACATGGTACCTAGATCTCATTGGTATCCACTTCCGGGTGGATGTTGTGTTATCGCCAATACTTACAATCGACCGGTAATTTTCTATTCCAATGTTCCGACTGCGTGTTCTACAACTCCACCACTTTTGTCAGCACCCGGAGAAAACGTCGAGCCAATCGTTGTGGGAATTATCGATGGATGCCATTGCATCTCCCTTCAACTTGAGATCTCTGATAGTCTCCCCATCCCGTATTTCAATCCTGATTGGCTGCGACTACGAAAACCGGATGCCTCCGGCTGGGATTCATTCTACCAAGAAAATATCAACATTTTCAAACAGTGGAGAAAAGATTGCAACGCAAAGAAATCAGAAAATTTTGAGCAGGATGATGAAATTTTGTGATATATCTTCCTGTTTATACTAATACTTATAGTAAAGCTTAAAAATTTTTAAGCTTGGTTTATTATAAAAATGAAATGCAGTCATTGTTTCCTTATTAGCTTTTGGAAGCTATCAAATAACTGAGTTGGCGGAGTAGTCACAAAAGAGTACAGTTTTTTGTTATGACCTGTCACGCGTGTTACATGTAGAGTTCATACTAGTCTTGTCTCCCGTTGTGCATATTGCTTTTCCTCACTTAGCAATCTACTATATTCACGAGACCACCCTTAAAGCTTCTCTTGCATCTCCCTCTCGAAGCTACAACATATTGCTAAGTCTCATCAAAAGAGATCCAAGAGAAGAATCACCGAAAGTAAGAAGAAATCAAAACGAACGATTAAGAAGAAAGTTAAAAGAAGTTAAGAAGAAAGATTTTCAAAGTTAATAAAGTTAAATTAAAGTATAAACTTAATCTGCACTCCGCAAGCAAAGTTAGAAGAAAGTTGATTACTCAGTATTACCACAGAAGTAACATTTAAAGAAGATAACTTATACCCCGCATAATCTCGAACACCACTGCATCCTTCCAAAACGCCAAACTTTAAGCTTCCCTCTAACTCAACGGACTCGGAGTCATCGGAAAAAGAATTCTACGAGACAGAAGAGACCGCAATGAATCCAGAACACGAACAGCCCTCTATGGCCGAGATTTTACGGCAAATGAGAGAATTAAACACTCAATTCTTAGAGGTCAAAGCAAGCTTAGCTGAAGAATCGCAGAAACGAGAAGAAGCTGAGAGAAGAAGTGACGAAGCAGAACAACGACTACGTCAATTTGAAACAACCCGCACTACCTCCACTCAACTACCTCACAGCTCCGCCCCGATCGCTCAGACCTCTGTTCCGCAAACGATTAGTCAAATAAAGCCTCCTAAGATCGCCACTCCAAATAAATATGATGGTACTAAAGGACAGAAAGCCGAAGTTTATGTTAATCAGGTCTGCTTATATATGCAAATGAATGCTGCTGCATTTGTGAACGAACAAGCTCAAGTTGCGTTCGCGTTATCTTACCTTGATGGGAAAGCCAGTATTTGGAGCCAAAATTTTACCGATCAACTACTCGACCAAGATAAAATGAAACAAGTTACTTGGAAAAAATTCATTGAATCATTTAAAGCAACGTTCTTTGACTCTGAAAGATTGGCTAAAGCAGAAAAAGAAATGAGGGCGTTAACTCAAACAAAGGCAGTGGTAGATTATTGGATTAAGTTTTCGGAATTAGCGTTGATAGTTAAATGGCCTGAGAATTTATTACTATCTCAATTTAAGCAAGGATTAAAGAAAGAAATCACGGTGCATATGGTACGGGACGAATTCAAGGAAGTTGAAGAAATGGCAAAGTTAGCTATTAAACTTGATAATGAAATTAATAAAAGAGACTCCAACACGCACCACCCAATTGTTTCAACCAACACAACTTCAACCTCAACCACTATTACTGATCCAGATGCAATGGATTGTTTGGCTTATCGTGTTAACATATCAAATGAGGAGTATAACAAGAGAGGAGCAATGGGAATGTGTTATAGTTGTGGTAAAGATGATCATTTTATTAGAGACTGTCCAACTAGAAAAAGACGTGGAGGTAGAGGAGGTTGGAGAGGTAGAGGAGGATATGGAGGTTATGGGAAATTCAAAAGTAAAGTTGCTGAAGTGGATGGTGTCAAGGAAGAAGAGAAGGACGATGGAAGAGCTGAAGCCTCAAAAAATGGAGGCGCTCGGGAGTGCTAGTGGTGCCACACTCGAGCGGTAATTACTTAACTGAAGATTGTAGTAGCTTAAATTCACTTGAAATAAAAGATACGCGAATCATTGATTTTGTTACTATTTTCGAAGTTAAGAGTGCCACCCCCATTGTTGCGAGAGCCTTAGTAGACAGCGGTGCTACACATGAAGCAATGAGCCACCGGTTTGTCTCTGCCAACAAGTTCAAGACGGACCCATTACCTCAAACCAGAAGTGTAACTGGTTTTAGTGGTCACGAGTCAAGAATCACCCATACTGTTGACCTCTGTGTCAACTCCATTGAATCAACACCAACCACCTTCATAATCACTGAATTGCGCGACAAGTACGACATAATTCTTGGAATGCCTTGGATACGACAAAATTTTGAAAAGATTGATTGGAAGAACGGTCAACTCAAGGAAAATCATTCACTCATTGCAGTTGTAGAATCAACTTCGTCAAGACCGGACAAAGCCTCGAGGAACCACAAGGAGGAGCCTATGAGGCATGCTAGGAATCTTGACGAGGGGGTGGAGCCTGAAAACTCATTAACACCCCCGCAATGTGCGTATATTTCTAATTATTCAAATGACGAAAAAGAAGCAGCTAGCAAGCCATTACATCATGTAGAAAACTTAACACACACGAATTCGTGAGAGAATTCAAGGAACTCGACAGAACAAGAGAAACGAAATGAAACTGCAGCTGACCGTAAGGCAGCTTTGTTGGTGCCGAAAAACCCCTTGGAGGACCACGAAAGACGGGATCCTACGAGGCAAGCTAGGCACCATGACAAGGGGGTTGAATTCAAGTTGAGTTCGTCACAGCCCCCGCAGAGTACGTGTAAACATTCTTCAATCTCAAATGTGAATGAACATGCTGGCAAGCGTTTTTCTTTTCAACCACAGCATGCTATCCAACGACTCAACTCAAGCCTAAATCGTCAAAACAAAGTGATGGATCAACTACGAACTTTACAACAACCGACAAAATCAATGATTGATGTAATGAAAACGTCATGGAACCTGTCTGCGAAGATAGCAGCAGATCAAGTGAAGGACTCACCTACTAAGAACGCGGCTGAACTCGTACCCGAATGCTATCACGACTATTTACCTATGTTCGAAAAGAGCAATTCTGACGTTTTACCACCTCATCGCCCATATGATTTCAGAGTTGATTTGATACCTGGAGCATCGCCACAAGCAGGAAAAGTTATTCCTTTATCACCGAAAGAAACTGAAGTGCTTAATGAGATGCTTGAAAAAGGACTGAAAAATGGAACAATTCGCCGTACAACTTCTCCTTGGGCAGCTCCTGTCTTATTTACCGGCAAGAAAGACGGAAATTTACGACCCTGTTTCGATTACAGACGACTCAATGCCGTAACTGTAAAGAACAAATACCCCCTTCCACTGACAATGGAACTAATAGATAGCCTACTAAATGCAGATGAATTCACGAGTTTAGATATGAGGAATGGGTATAATAATCTAAGGGTCAGGGAAGGCGACGAAGCAAAACTAGCATTTATATGTAAATCTGGCCAATTTGAACCGCGAACAATGCCCTTTGGACCAACGGGAGCGCCTGGATTTTTTCAGTACTTCATTAAAGATATACTGAAAGCTCATATAGGCCGAAATGTGGCTGCGTATCAGGATGACATATTAATCTACACCGGTCCAGGAGTTAATCATCAAGAGGTCGTGAAAGAAGTTTTGGAAATATTAAGACGTCAAAATGTATGGTTAAAACCTGAAAAATGTAAATTCTCAAAGAAAGAAATTTCGTATTTAGGATTAATCATCTCAAAGAATCAAATTAGGATGGATGAAAGCAAAGTCAAAGCAGTAAAAGACTGGCCAACCCCAAAAAATTTATCTGAAGTACAGACCTTTTTGGGATTTGCAAATTTTTACAGAAGATTCATTGATCAGTTCTCAAAGATCGCACGACCACTGCACGAGCTGTCACAAAAGAATGTTGCGTTTGAATGGAATGAACAACGTCAGAGAGCATTCGAAACACTCAAGACTGCGTTCACCACCGCCCCGGTATTGAAAATTGCGGATCCATACAAAGCTTTTGTATTGGAATGTGATTGCTCTGACTATGCGCTAGGAGCGGTACTTTCTCAAGTGTCTGATGATGACAATGAACTACATCCTATTGCATACTTATCAAGATCTCTAATTCAGGCAGAGCGGAACTATGAAATATTCGACAAGGAATTATTGGCAGTAGTAGCATCTTTCAAAGAATGGCGACAGTATCTCGAGGGGAATCCAAACCGCCTCAATGTTATTGTGTATAGTGATCATAAGAATTTACAATCCTTGATGACAACCAAAGAACTGACACGGCGGCAAGCAAGGTGGGCCGAAATTCTTGGCAGCTTTGATTTTGAAATTAGATTTCGACCAGGTAGACAATCCACCAAGCCAGATGCGTTATCTCGGAGACCGGATTTAGTCCCAGCTGAAGGAACAAAGCTCACATTTGGACAGCTACTAAAACCCGAAAATTTGCCTGCTGATGCATTTATTGATGAATTAGAGATTATTGATAAATGGTTTGAAGAAGAAGAATTGCTGGAACAAGATGAAGAGAACAACAGTGAAGAAGAAGATAACAATCAAATGCTTATGACCGACAGAGAAATATTACAAATTATAAAGATGAAGAGCAAGTCCGACCCGAAAATCAATGAGATGATTAGGCTTTGTGCTGAAATGCCAATGTCAAAGCATATCAAGGACTATCAAACTATTGATGGCATTTTATATTTCAAAAACAAGGCTGTTATTCCGTCTGACACTGATTTGAAATTACACATCCTTCGTTCTAGACACGATAGCAGATTAGCAGGTCATCCGGGGAGAATGCGAACGTTAGCACTGGTAAAGCGCGCATATCACTGGCCGTCAATGAAAGCATTCATCAACAAATACGTGGACGGATGTGGATCATGTCAACGCGTAAAATCTAGGACCGAAAAGCCATTTGGAAGTCTCCAACCTTTACCTATCCCGGAAGGACCATGGCTCGACATTTGCTACGACCTAATCACGGACTTACCCAAATCTGGAGGTTATGACAGTATCCTAACTGTTGTTGACAGACTCACAAAGATGGCGCACTTTGTTGCATGTAGGAAGAGCATGAAATCCGAAGAGCTTGCTGATTTAATGATCAAGGAAGTTTGGAGGTTGCACGGCACTCCACGAACGGTAACATCTGATCGAGGAAATATCTTTATATCACGTATCACTAAAGATTTCCACAGAAGACTAGGCATCAAGACCCAATCCTCAACGGCGTATCATCCCCAAACAGATGGCCAATCAGAAATTACGAACAAAGTGGTTGAATTATATATCAGGCACTTCACCGCATACAAGCAAGATGACTGGCTGACGTTATTACCATTTGCTGAATTTTCGTATAACAACAGTGAACACTTGGCGATAGGCGTGTCCCCGTTCAAAGCTAATTATGGATTCAATGTCAACTTCACCGATGTTCCGTCCAGTGAACAATGTTTACCGCTGGTGGAACAAAGAATTGATCAAATCAAAAATGTTCAACGTGAATTAAAAGATGCAATGGGCCTAACTCAAGAATTAATGAAGATGCAACATGATAGCAAAGTTCGAGATACGCCTAATTGGAAGAAAGGAGACAAGGTCTGGCTCAACAACAAGCACCTATCAACAACACGGCCCACAGCTAAGTTTGCCCATAGATGGGTAGGACCATTTGTTATTTCAGCGCGTGTGTCTAAAAATGCTTACAAGATTGTGTTACCTAAATCTATGAGTAAGGTACACCCTGTTTTTCACGTCAACCTATTAAGAAAATTCGAAGAAAGCAAGATACCAGGACATCACAAAATGCCGCCACCACCAATAGTTATGAATAATGAAGATGAATTTGAAATTAATGAAATACTTGATAAGAGAAAAAGAGGAAGAAAATTAGAGTATTTAATTAACTGGAAGGGATATGGTGAAGAACATGATTCATGGGAACCAGAAGAAGGTCTCAAGAATGCAAAACAATTAATGAATGATTTTAATAGAAAGTATCCAGATGCTGAAGTTAGATACAAAAGGACGAGGAGAAAGAAGTGAGGGTATGGCTTTTTCCCACTGGGTTTTTTAATGCCACCCGGGGATAGATGCTGGCCTGCAAGAGGAGGTAGAGACATAAAAGGGGGAGTGGTGTTATGACCTGTCACGCGTGTTACATGTAGAGTTCATACTAGTCTTGTCTCCCGTTGTGCATATTGCTTTTCCTCACTTAGCAATCTACTATATTCACGAGACCACCCTTAAAGCTTCTCTTGCATCTCCCTCTCGAAGCTACAACACTATTCACAATTGTGTGAATGGTGATCACACAATTGGGAATGAGTTTCACAAATGTGTGATCATCATTCACACAATTGTGAATGTGATTCACACATTTGTAAATGTTGATCACAGCTGTGTGAATGGTGATCACAGCTGTGTGAAATGTGATTCATACTATTGTGAATGTGATTCACGCTATTGTGAATCACATTTACAAATGTGTGATTGTTGATCACAATTGTGTGAGTATTAGGTTTCTGGGGTTTACACGCATATGAGTTTTCACATAGTTGATATTCTTGTTTACTTTTACCACTCTAATCTCAATCTTATTAAGCCAAGAAAATATTTCCACTTGACTTGAGGAAATGAAATAGATACTTTGTTTTCTTATTTCCTTTTTTGAACACGAGTTTCTAACAAATAACCTAGTTGACATATCAATCACAAATGTGTGATGCAGAGTCACACAGATGTGTGACTCAGAGTTACATCTTTGTGATTAGTGTGACAGATGTGTGACTCAGGGTTACATCTTTGTGACACAGTGTCACACCTGTGTGACTCTGTGTCACACCTGTGTGACTCTGTGTCACACCTGTGTGACTCTGTGTCACACCTGTGTGACTCTGTGTCACACCTGTGTGACTCTGTGTGACACATGTGTGACCAGAAGTTGTAAGAGGTTAAACCAAAAACGTGAATTACCCAAGTGTGACCCGAAGTCACACAGGTGTGACTGGAATTCACCACTGGGTGACCGGAATTCACACAATTGTGAAAGTCCGTCTACGGATGCATGTGTAACATGTTGGAGTGTGGGATGCAGGTGTTGTATTTGTTGTTAATAGCTGAACAGTGCATTTAAGGAATGATGATATTGAAATCTCCCATGGGAACTTGTGTTATTGTAGTTGTGAATCCGACGCAGCGGCCGCGTCGGCGTGTCGGAAGGGGGGTCTTTGGCTTGTCGCCGATAGGAATGACCCATTTCCTATCGGCTAGTGTCCAAAGGGGCGGGTAGCCACAGGTGCGGATCGGCTAGTGGTAGGCTTTGGATCTCCTCTAATGTTGGGCACTCAATTGGATTCGGTGACGGGAAATCTTCATTAAACTTCCCTACAATCCGGCAAAAGATCTTGTACTTATCCTTCAAGAGTTTTTGTTTATCACTCAATGTCTTTTTTGAGCGTTGTTGCATACGGGTACCTATCACCCATACTTTAGAAAAAAAACTGTAATGCAAGATTCAAGTAATTGTCGCACCTTCCCTTTCATCATTCCTCCGTTGACTTTCAAAAACATCTACTTTTGCGCCATACAGTTGAGATTTTGACAACCGTACCCTAATCAGCGCTCGACCCTTTGGAGCTTAAATTGAAACAAGCCACAATGAGCTTCGATGATAATCAAAAGATGTAATAAATGTATCATACTTGTAGCTTCGGGCATATCCCTGTAGTGGTTTCCACCCAGTTCTGTAACCAATTCTTCGATCTGCTCCTCAATGATGAGCAGTGTGACAGGCAGATGAAGTATGTTCCGCTTTTCAGAAGCTGTTCGAAGCTGGTTTCTCTTGGCTCGCAGAGCAAACACAACATCACATCAAAAAGTTGTTCTATACGTCTCTTTAGGTGGAATTCACTCAACTGAGCCACTCGGTACTGGTCTTTGAGATTCACCAGGCGAGAAAGCATTTGGTTTAAGACCTGTGAATTCTTGGTTACTAAGGCGCGAAGTTGACATTCTTGTTGCCTGGCCCACTGGTCTTTGAAATATTCATGTGTATATCTAATGTTTTTGCTTTGCAATACGTTTAGCTTCTCAAGGCTTTGATTGTAAATCTTTTGACTAGATAACAACCGTGTAATTGCCCAATTTACTGTTCATTTGAAATGGCAACAGTACCAAGTTAGTCAGATAAGACCAAGCAAAAAAAAATGATCTAACATACTGGCTCGTTTCCGTTTTCCCTCATTGTTGTGACGAGTTCGCAAAGCCAATGCACAAAGCCTGTGGGCTTTGGTCAAATATCGCAATGCGCCAACTAAGGATGATAGACTGGACCAAATGTGTTCTAAAACTTCGCCATCCGAAAGCCCCCAACCTTTGTTCAATCTAGGGTTGTATCTCAACTGACAAGCCCATTGATGGACGTAAGAGTGAAAGACGCTCGTTCCGAACTTTAATTGTTCAGCTGTGCGTTCATTGGCAAACAAGTTCCGCTGTTCAGAACACAAAACAGTCAATGATTTTATTTCAAGATGGCAAAACTCGATGATTGACCTTGATAATACTTTTTTCAAGGTTACATCCTATGTCATATAGGACTCCAAATCGAGGCACATTCCCGTTCATCTCAGTTGTACTTTGAAGGATCCAGTCAAGCATTGCCAAAGGGTAATACCCACTAGTTACCCATCACAAACCATCAGTAAGCCATCTACACATATTGTAGAGAGAACAAATTTGAGTAAAAAGTATATCATATACTTACCGTTCCCCTGATTGAATGATGTTGATGAATTTGAGTAGATTATCGTGACGACAGGCCATCCCCATCAAGCCCGTTTTGTCACAGCTACGCCAGGTCTGTTGTCCTCGAGTATCATTGGCGGCTGTATGCTGTGCACTACAAGGATCCTGTGCACCAATCCAATGAATCAGTAACAATTTATCGAATTAAAGAGCAGAAAGACTCTCACCACCACATCATCCACAGGTTTCTTTTTGTTACGTGTTTGCTGATTCACAGGTGGTTCCATCTTTTTTCTCCATAAGAGCACGTGGGCAGGTGATATGAAAAGTGATGGCACAACGCCGGTATCACCTCGCCAGGCAGCACTGGCAGCAAGATGCCTTCGTTGCTGGAAATTTGCATCGAGGCAAATAATGTAATCGGGCTCGTCTATTCGTTTACCTGGCACTTTAGGACCAAAACAACTGGGACAATTCCCAGCAAGAACATCAAGAGATGTCAAACGCAAAGCGGACGTTGCTAGCTCGTCTTCCATGCACAGCATCTCGCGGTATGCGTCGACCGCTGCTGAAAAGCAGCGACGTAAGTCTTGTGTCTGTGACAAGTTCATAGGATTTAGTCTATATGAACTTGTTGAATCATAGTACAGATAGCAGAACTTACCTCATCACTTCCCGGAACTACAAATAACGGATTTTTTGCATCCAAATATTCATCGATGGCTTCGGTGAAAGATGCCAACCAAATGCTTGAATGCTTCCACAATATGTGATGAAACCGGACCAATCGAACCGAAAAGGCTGTTCGTGGGCAAACGGGCTTGGATCCTATATAGCCAAGACAAATCAGGCGCACCACGTCTTTTGTGCAAGCACAAAACTCGACAGATAGCTTCTTTCGGCCTGCGTATGAAAAAATCCAGTTATGAACTCAACATGTAAGCTTTGAAAATGCATCCGAACACCATCATTTGAGTCTTACTCTCAAAATCAATCGTATCTACCTCTACTGTTCGCTTTTGCCAATCTTTACATTTGCAGTCAGTGTTGAAGTCCTGATTCCACAACTGACTATCACACCATTGATAAGTCTGACGACAGCAAGGCATGAAAGCATTGAAGAACTTGGGGAGGACTGCTCGCCAGTTGGCCTCCTCCCTAAGTGTTCGTTCTTGATAGGTAGCACTTCGATAATACTCTTTCCTATTATCACTGCGAATATAATGTATTTTTCCGAGGTGAAAAATGATTACATTTATTTCACAAAATGATTAAAAATGCATTAATTCTGCATTAATTCTGCATTTTTCTGCATTAATTCTGCATTATTAATCATTATGTGCATTAATGTCAATCATTTTTCACCTTGGAAAAATACATTATTTTTTCAGTGTATGTGGAGGATGGACCACTTCGTCGTCGCTAGAAAGGGCTGGATCGATGCCATTGGGCCTTATAACAAGATCATATCCATATTGGTCTTGCTCGTTGGGTTGATCTTGGTATTCGGGTTGTTCGTTTTCTCTTTGGGGCTGGGTTACAGGTGGAGGATTGACCAACGCCGCAAGAGCTGAGCTGGCAGCTTCGCTTTCTAGTTTGTGGAGTAACGCAAATCTTTTATTCGGAATAGTAGTCTGTGCTGAAGTCTCTTTCTTTTTTTGCTTTCCTGGAATTGGGACAATCTCTCCAGGCAAAGCCATGAGCAAAGTAGATAGATTCCACTTGGTGCTTTTTTGAAAAAGGGGTTGAAAGCTTGATCTCTTACAAATCAATGAGATACTAATATAATGAATTTGCAACAGCTACCGATTTCAACATCGACCGATTTCAACAGCCGCTAACAAATGGTCATATCAATTTGGTCTAGTCTAATAAGGTCTAATATCAAATTGGTTTAGTGCTCGTGGCAACTTTCCATAAACGGACATCACTTTTACATCACTCTTATATACCCTTATCAGTGAAATAAATCCATGTAACTCACACAATATTGATGCAAACTGCATCATCCAATAGCCAAAAACACTGTAAAATCAATCTCAAGTAGGGTTTAATGAGAGCAATTGTGGAAATGACCACTTTTTTATGGTCATGTCACCCTTTTGGTGTTACTACAAAGGAACAAATTATATGTCATTCACACAATATTCATGCTAACAGCATGATCCATTAGTGAAAAATGCTGTAAATTAAATTATAAGTGGAGTTTAATAATACAGATTATGGAAATGTCCATGTCTTGAAGGTCACATAAAGGAATTGGTGATACTGGAAAACAGAAAATTACACATAACTCAAACAATATTGCTCCAAACTGGACATTCAATTAGTAGGAAAAATTGTCTGACGAATTTCACTTAGAGTTTGATAATAGCACTTTCAACAATGTTGAAGTCTTGATAGTCAAATAGGGGATTTTGTGATCATCTGGTGGTTTGAAAAAGTGACAAAATCCCCACATCTCCCTCACTTTTGGGCCAAATTTGAAAATTCAGTAATGAAATTTGTTTGAAATTTAATTTCATTTTCCATTTATTAATAGCTTTCCTGAAAAAACAGCCTTCTTGACACCACTTTGTGCATTTCAATTTTTGACAGGCATTTTTGTATGCCCATATCTCAGTCAGTTTTTGTGTTTTGATGTTTTGCTCTGTTCCAGAGAATTTCTGAGCATTTTTAAGGGGGGTTCATTAATGAACTTAGAGCCCAAAATGAGTTTTAAATTTCACTAAAATTTTGTCTCAAATACTTGCATATTTGATGTTTTCACGTCAATTGACCAAGGTAACATCATCCAGCTAAATAACATTTGGAAATGGGAATACAATTAATGGTTCAGATATTTATATTTAGTGAACTTCATGCCAATATACATTGCAGATAAGCCATCAAACCCACACGTCTCTGACTTATGAGGACTTTAGCACTTTTACTGAGTTTATGGATTTAGGGATTGTATTGATATTTAGCCAATAACCAGCATCAAGATGTCACTTTTAGTAAGAAGTATTATAATAAACTAGTCATTAATTTGCTTCACAAACCAATTCCATTAATGGATGTCCAAGTTTTGGTGAATATTCAGTGAGTTGTGGACCATTTTGTGCAACTTGAACAGTGTCAAATTGTCTGCAACCAAGTAACAAACTGTAGCTCAGTAACATTTGGAAAATAAAAGAGAATGGTCTTGTTATATAATTATATTTACTAAATTTCAGACAAATATACATTCAAGATAAGCCCTTCCAACCCACACACCTCTGACTTATGAGGTCTTTTGTAGTTTGACTGAGGTTACGGAATTGGGGATTGTATTGACATCTAGCCAATAAACAGTACTAAGATGCCACTTTTGGTAAGAAGTATTATAATAAACTAGTCTTGAAATTACTTCCCAGAGCACTTGCATTAATGAATTGTCAAGTTTGGATCAATAAGGAGCTAAAAGTTTGTGCCTTTTTGGAACTTGCGGAAATTTGAAGTTGCACAAAAGCTATTGAATGTCTTTGAAGACTGACTAATGAAAATAGAAGATTGTGATGATTTATTTTTGGAATGTCTTTATGAAAAATCTTTATCAATGGATTATACAGGTTGGATCCCATAAATATTCAGTGATGTGTGCACCTTTTGTACAACTTGCACATTTTCAAGGCATTGAGTGACATTGAATACTCACTAATTTGAACAATTTATCACAACAAATCAATCATGATATTTCTTTGTGAACACTCTTTATTTTACTGAAGGACCAGAAAGGTAGGGTCATCATTGAGTGACATGTACACCATTTGTCCAATTTGCACAATTTTGGATGTGTGAAAAATGCATTAAACATCATAAAATACATTCAGTTGAACAACTTATCACAAGGGGACAATCCTGAAACCTCTTTGTGACAATGTTTATTGATGAATCAGGAAGTTTGAATCCACATGGAGTGACATAACATACCTGAGTTGATGCTTGCTGCTGCACCTCACTTTAAAGGTAAAGGTATGTGGCTATGCGCTTAGCAAGGCTTACATGTACATATACAAATACGCGGTCGTGGAGTCTGGACCATATGAGGTATGGTATTATGCAGGTTCAAGCTCAACTCCACCCCTCGGAGCTGAACTCATACTCTTCGATATCAACCTGCTCCCTGACCTATCTCCATCATGGTGTCCACCCAATCAAAACCTACGAGTCAGGATCCTCCTGTCTCTACTCAGAATCAATCCCAAAACAACAAGAAAAAAACAAGAAGAAGAAGAAGAGTAACACACAGGGCGAGAACTCGACATCAACTCCTTTGGAAGAAACCACCAATGAAGACGACCCAACCGAACCAACCATCTTTCAATCTCGCTTTCCGGGTCTGGAGATGGATACATTTGAAAATCATCTAGACAATTGGACGTTAACTTCCCTTCGCCAGGCCATCACCAAGCAAGATTCGAAGAACAGTAAAGCCCCATTTGAAATCAAAACCTTAGTCAAGGGGATTCGTTTGGAGTACGAGAAAAGGATGCTCATGGCAGCGTTGATGGGTGGAGTTCCAGAAGCTGTAGTCTGGCATTTAGTGTAAGTGATTTTACCTTATTCATATTTCTTTTTTCCTGACTTATCGACTCACATATGTAATCGACTTTTTTTACGTGTATCATCAGGGGGGAAGGGGCCAAAAAGGGTCACGCCAATCCATGGATACTTTTTTTAGCCTTTTGCCTTCTTCCGCTAGAAGAGAAATGTGAGCCTCTCGCTTTTGTTTTCACTCACTCTTTCCATCTACGTAATTTTTTGCTTCTATTGTTTCTCTTCAATTTTATTGTTACATGTTTTCCCACTATATATTTTTTTCTTTGAGAATTTCCGAATCATTTGCTTTTTTCTTATCTTTTGAATTATTCAGTGCCTGCGCCAGGCGACAAGGCAGGCTGGACCCATCATAATCAAGAAGTTTCCAAGATGTGGAAAAATCTCAGCAAAGATGAGAAGGATGTCTTTCGAGACCCTTACTTCTTTGCTTTGGCAAACTTACCCGACCTCTCAAATGTGCCTGGTGGAGACGACGACTTACCCGATACCGACGATGGAGACAAAACCCCCCTTCAGCATCTTGATCAAACGACTAACGCTCCGCAGGTACACAAACTGACCGACAAAGAGAAGCTTAAATATCAACCATTATTCAATTGACTTGTTGACATCGACAAGCTCCATGTATGTCACGGCAAACCGGCTCCTTCAACATCTGTAGCCACAATCCAGAAAAAGTCATTTGTAGAGCTTCGAAAAGCTCATCATGCTGTAAGTCCTTTGTACAATTCATTTCAAATATTTATACACTGAATCATTCATATGGGTCCTTGTTCCTCAGTTTGCTGTGATATGTCAGCAATATCAAGTTACTTACTATCTAGCTGCAGTCAGTTGTGGAAGTACCGAAGGATGGACGCAGGTTTTTTCGAATAACTCAAATTTTGCCAAGTGGGCGCACGACGATGTCAAGGTCCCGCAAACACTATCTTCTTACATCCACGGTCAATCCGCTGCAAAAATAGTCAAGGGTCCCAGCAAGCCTCAACAGCCAAGTGATGAGCGTAAGAGTCGGCTAGGAAAACAGCTCAACGGTCTAGTTGGTGAGTTTTTAACAAATATCATTTCTCTTACGTTTTGACCATTTTCTATCCATTTATAATAATGTATTGTTTTTTTCCTGTTTTAGATGTGATTTTTCGAGGTCATAAATTTCCCAAGTGTGGATTCCCTGAAGAAGAAATGAAGGAGAGAGGCTTATCGGTCCGACTTGTACAAAAGGAGGGCAGTCTCTTATCAAAGGAGGAGCTTGATGCTGGCCATCATCGAGCAAAGGGTCCTACAATCAAATCATGGCTGGAGGACATCAAAAACGGGGTCTTTTTAGTTGAACGTGTTGAACGTACTTCAGAATCGGGAATGAACAAGGAATCTGTCCCAAAACAACAAACTCGAAAAATCTCAAAACAAACTCAGTCTTCAACTCAAATCTCAAATGCTACACAACCTCAGCCATCAACTTCAGGTACTCAAACAACTTTAGAACCTGGTCAAGGAAACTCTCAATTGAAGCGTAAGTTACAAGAACTGGCAAAGGGCGATCCACACTCTCAACCGTTGAAACGTATCAAGAAAAGCAAGAACAAGAATAAACGTCGACAACACGCTGATGAATCTGATACTGCTGAGGAATCTGACACTTCGGATGAATCTGATTCCTCTACGCCTAAAGGATCTGATACCGATGACAATGATATTGACCACTCTGATTCTGAGTAAGTCGCTAACTTAACTTGGATAAAATCGATTCACTCAATTGGTTCTGCCCAGTTCCCTTCCTTGCTTTTCTCTTATTCTCTATCTTTTGTTCCTTTTCTTCTATTGGGTCAATACCCAATCACTCTGGTGGAATGTCATCTCAATTGAGCTTATGCAACTGGGAACTTATCAAAGATGCTTTTGCCATGACATATCAAGTGGTGCTTTTTACATGATGTTATATCAATCGATATTCTTTTGTTTTATTGTCTTCCTTTATTTTCAAGATTTTTTTGTTTTGCTCTATTGTTTTCCTTGAGAATTTGAAATCAAGATCGTTGTGTTTTGTTTTGTTTGTTTTCCTTGAGAATTTGACCGGTTCTGGACTCCTGTCTTATGAAATTTCAAGTTCCTTGTTTTGTTCAAAAAGCAAGGCTATCAAATTGGTACTCTCAAGTTACGTCAAAATTCGAACACTGTATTCCTCAAACTAGACCGTTGTGTGATTCCTAACTCAAGGAACCAACCAAACTCTACCAAACTTCGTCCTTTGCCAATCATATTGGACCCTGATCGATTCAATGAGATCATAATTCAATCAATAACAATGTAATTACACTAAACCGTGGTATGATTCTCAGTTCATGAGAAATTAACTAAACTTCGTCCTCGATAGTTCCAATCAACCTGATTGATTCTATCATATTGAAATCAACCTTATTGATTCAATCATATTGAATCGTTATTGAAACTTGTTTCAACCTTGGTTAATGATGATTGAAATCATGATTCATTCAATCGATTTCAAATCAATGAGATCAGTGATTCATCATTCATCAAACTCTACATTGATCGAAGACAGCCTTCCACAGCCTTCCACCTGTCTTCCAATCTTTACATACCTCGCACCTTTGGACAGTCATTCAAATGCTTGAACACCTAGATTTGGTGTATTTGACATAGTAAGGATATGCGTATGAGTATGAGAAGACAAATACAGTCAAGACTGTTGACTGTTAGTTTGATCGATACCTGGTTTCAAATGATCTTCTAGGATTAAGCGTCAAGACCTATTAACCAAATCAATGACTGGAAACTTGTGAATTGGATAGAAGTTCATTGTTGCTTAGGCTTTGGAACAACTTATTTCATCTGTAAAAATTGTTCTTGAGATAAATTCAGAGACCTCAAGCAGCTTTGGAATAGAACAAGGAGGATCCAAAGTCAATCCCAATCTGGACTAGTACCGATTTGAGCAACAGGTACAGACTTGAGTGAGAGCACTTCCAAATCTGCAAAAGATTTGAAAGCCCGACTCAAGTCCCATAATGCATTGGGCAGAGACTCATGAGAGTGCCCTGGGGAATCAGGGCAAGATGGGTGCGCAGTGCTTGGAAGGTGAACTGAGAGTGCTCTGAGGGTGAACTTGGAGCACCCTAAAGGTCAGCTCGGAGCGCTCTGAAGGGTCTCAGAGCGCTCTGGAGGGTCTCAGAGCGCTCTGAAGGTCAGCTCAGAGCGCTCTGGGGGTGTCTTATTTTTGGACTTGGAGGTCAATGTAAAAGTTTGTGCGCATATGATCAGCACTTCCTTGATTGCAATAATATGCTGAAAAAAAGTGGAAAACTTATGATCTTCATGACTTATCACAATGGAAACGTGTGCTCCAGAACTTCGGAGTGTTCTGTAGGCCAAAGTCCGGCTTCTCAGTCGGTCATACAGTACACTGTATGACTGACTTGTAAGTCTCTTCATACAGGTGCCACAGGTGAACAATAAGTGACCAAGATCGAAATCAAATTTGCCAAGCAAGAACTAGCTAAAAGTTAAACAACTCCGAATGATGTCAGTAAAAAGAATCAATCGAGAAAGAGAAGAAGAAAGTAGAAAAGAAATAAACATACCTAGAGCGAGAAATCGAAAAAAACGAAGTCGATAAACGGAAGGAGTTAAGCTGGGAAGGGTTGGAGCGATAAGCTAAAAGAGAATTAATAAAAAAATGATGTCATTAGAATAAGAAAGAACAACTCTAATGAGAAAAGAAAAGAAAAGTAGAAGCAAGAAGCATACCTGAGTTGAAAGAGAGAACCGAGTCGAATGGGAAGGATCTTGGCATGGGAATCGATCAGGATTCATCGGAGCAAATGGGAGAAAGGGCTGTGAGGCTAAGTTGTGGTTGGAGAGGTTGGAAGATATAAAAGGGGGGGTGTTGTTGGTGTTGAAAAGGAGGCTCATTGTGTGGAGAGGTCGAATCGAATCGATCTAAAGTGATCTTTGTTGTGTTTTGAGTTTTTTTTGTCTAAGTGTGTCCTTGAGATTGACTCGAGTGTACTGTGGTGTTCTTTTTTTATTGTTAGTCCTAGTCTTGAAGTGAAAGATCAAAAAAGTGGAAGTTTTATTGTTTTTTGTTAGTTATCAAGTTATAAGTTGATTAAAAGAAAGGGAAGACTTACTGTGATAAAGGGTTGTGGTATTATTTTTAATTCTCGTTGTTGAAGTTGAGGAAGAAGGGTTGCGTGATTTTATGTTAATTTTTTTATTTTTTGTTCTGTCTACTTGAGTACAGGGCCAAGTCAGGGCCAGTAGGGAAAAGGACTGATCCTGGGTTCAATTCCAGGACAAGTTGTGTTTGTTTTAATTTGTTTTTTTAACTTTGTGTGTGCGGCTGAATTGTGGAAGGGATAAATAGGGTTAGAAAGGTTGAAGATCCTTGTACAGAGTGAAATTAGGTCTACGGGAAAACTTGTAACGGCGGGGTTGTAAAAATTTGTCTCACGTATTTTTTTAGAACTTTCTTTAGGTTGAAGGCAGCTTCACAGCACCGTAGTTTCATCTGTCCTCCTTGACGGTGATTCTAACCTTCTCCGGCTCAGCCTACGCTACACTGCGTAGGAGTTCTACACCGTATACTCCAGAATCAAACGGCATCGCAGAGCGCTTGAACCGCACAGCTTCCGAACGTCTTCAAACACTATTTTCGTCTTCAAACGTTCCGCTTTATTTTTGGCCAGAATGTTTGCAGCAGATTGTCCTTTGTTTTAATAATTTTCCAACCAAAACAAACGCTGGATTGTGTTCTCCCCTTTCTGCACTTAACCGTGAACAAGAGGATATTAAGCTTTTTGCGCCTTTTGGTTGCGCTGTTGAATACCTACTTCCCCCGACTTTACGATCAAAACTCTCTCCGGTGTTGCAAGAAGCGGTATTTCTACACTCTGTACCTGATGGTAAATATATTGTAGCTTATGATTGAAGTCGACATCTTTTAGTCAAGACGGCATCTTTCAAGTTTTTCTACACTAAATTCCCTTCTCTTATTGAACCGAACAAGCATTCTAAAGATACTTTAACCCTTCCTTGGTCTGATTTATCGTCTTTAGAAGAACCTGTGCTGCCTTATGGGATTTTGACTCGTTCAAAAACATCTTCATCCATTCCATCCATTTCTTCTCCTATAAATGAAGACATTCCTTTACCATTACCAACTGTTGAACCATCCACAATTCCTCCTGATCCTCCACAAGCAACTCCTTCCGATCCTGTACCTCAACATCAAATGGATTCTTCGAAAGTTTCACCAATAGTAGTGCGAAGAAGTTCGAGGATACGAAAGGAACCCGAGAGGTTTACTCCCTCAGCCTTTGTTTTAGACACCTCGTCACCCAAACCCAAGTCTTACCAAAAAGCGACTGACAGTGAAGAGGCTTCACAATGGAAGTCTGCAGCGAACACCAAAATCGAAACGCTACGAAAGTTGGGTACTTGGAAATTGGTACCAAGACCTTCAAATAGAAAAGTATTACGTTCTATGTGGGTGTTTAAAAGGAAATCATCACGTTCAGGAGATATCGATAAATATAAAGGAAGGTTGGTCGTTTTAGGTAGTGGTCAAATTCTCGGTGTATTATATTTTGATGATGTATTCTCACCAGCTTCAAGACAAGAATCCAACTGTGTTGTTTTAACCGTGGCTGGGGTTAAGAAGTGGAAAGTGAAGGGGTTTGATATCACTGCTGCTTTCTTACACGGAAATAAATTGCAGGAAGCCGTTTTTATGGAGCAGCCGGAAGGCTTTAGAGATGAACAATTTCCTGATTATGTGTGCCATTTAATCTTACCTTTGTAAGGTTTACACCAGTCCGCAAGAAACTGGAACGACAGATTCACTGCTTCTCTCATTCGTATGGGTTTGAATCAATCCGCACACGATTCCACTCTTTTCTTCAAACTTGCCAACAACGAACTAGTTGGCCTAATCACTATACATATCGACAATATTTCAGTTACTGGTGATGATTCTTTCCTTTCCTCTTTTTCACATTCATTACATTCTGAATTTCCCATCTTGGCGGAAACAGATCTAGAACATCATTTATCAATTTCAATCAATCGTTCTCCCGATCTTAGCTATTTCACTCTTGAGCAAACTGTGTACATCATTAAAATTACCAAGCAATTTTTCCTTCATGAACCAGCTCATGTTTTGACTCCTTATGTCTCAAATGTTGGTTCTCTTGTACCTGCAATTGATAATTCAACATCAAATTCAAGATACGGTTCTCTTATTGGTGCATTATTATGGTTGGCTCAATGCACACGTCCAGACATTGCCTTTGCGGTAAAACAACTCTCTCAATTTCTGAAGCGGGACAACTCTGACCATTGGAATGCGGCATTGCAAGTTCTTGCTTATGCCTATCACACTCGTCATCTTGGCCTTACTTTGGGTGGTGATGATAATAAACTTGAAGGATTTACTGATTCAAATCGGGGAGAAAATTTGCATGACAGGTCTTCTACTTCAGGGTACTTATTTAGGTTGGGTAATGGACTTATATCTTGGAAGTCAAGGAAACAGAAAACCACAGCCTTGTTGAGTACAGAGGCTGAGTATATGGCGTTAAGTGATGCTGGTAGGGAGGCTATGTGGCTTAGACAATTCTCCAACAATCATTCACTATGAAAATACGGGTTCAGCGGTTCTTGCAAATAACCCGATTCATCATTCACGTAGCAAACATATTGATTTACGTTATCATTTCATTAGACAACTCATAAAAGACAAAAATGTAGCTTTAAAACAAGTCAATACATCTTTTCAACTCGCTGATTTCTTCACTGCCAACATAGATGCCTCGGGTTGCGGAATCCGAGGCATCATCGGAGGTAAAACCTCGGACAAGATCTGTCCGAGGTTTTTGTCCGAGGTAATCTTCTGCGCTGGGAGTTGCCTCGGATCAAAACCTCGGACAGCTTCTATCGGAGGTTGGTAATCCGATAATACCTCGGATTTTCCAATCCGAGGTAAATATGTTGGCGGTGCTTAACCAAAGCTTTATCAAGACCTGCGTTTGTGAATCTCAGAAATCAACTAGGTTTCAAAGATCTATCTTAATTTATTTTTCTGTCAGACTTTTTCAGCATGGGGGGGTGTTGGATTATTGATGTGCTTCAAAATGTCTTTCTACTTATTAATGTATTTCTTACAAATGTATTTCTTCCTTCTCATTTTCGTATTTCCTCATTTACCATATTACATCATATAGCCCAATGAAGAATATTATGTCACTGATCTTATAATGTCATAGCTGTAAATTTCATTTTTGTTTCTCTTTATAACCTGATCCTAAATCAGTCCGATAGAATTTTTCTTTCCTCATCTGACTGTATCATAACAAAATCTTTATATAAGATTATTGTTTTTTCTTTTGTTTCTCTTATACTGAGATTTTGTTTGTGTTTGGATTCAGGTAATGAATATTTGACCTGACTGTATCATAACAAAATCTTTATATAAGATTATTGTGTTTTCTTTTGTTTGTGTTTGGATTCAGTCCAACATGTGGCTAATCACTCATATACCAATTGAAGTCGTCAATATCATCATTCATCATTTTTTGGAAATCTACTAAGTCAAATCTTAGCCCACTGAATTTGGCTGATCTCCCTTATCCAAATGTTTCCTTGGTGTTGGAACTGCTCAATTGACAATTGATTGGTAGAGCATGGGCAATTGCTGTTGTGCCCTTTGTGTTCCGCTGTGTGCACTTGAGCTCGCCATTAATGATTCGTGGTTTTGTCAAAACGTGGAACGAATCCTATCTGATCACTACAATGTCTCAATTACGGTGTATTTCCTTTGACCACTTACTCTATCCAAACCTACAAAACACTATGAATCTAGTCGAATCAATGGCGAGCTATCTGTCTTCAAGGCGTGAATTACCTCCTACACGTCATGATTATTCTTCAAACCGTATGAAGGATGTGGAACACGTAATCAGGTTGTGTAGCAATAGTCTCACCAATTTGAAATTTGTTTTTGATGGATCAGTAGGATTCTCGTTGGACCTAATTAGTGTGATAGGATCTGTTAAACAACTTCGATGCATGATCATTGTGGGTAACTTGTGTACAATCCATGCGAATGACAGAGATTCTTTGGCAAATTTGTTCAATGTGACCAAGAATTTACAATCATTAACTCTCAAAATCAAGTCTTTGCGCCGTATGAAGCTCAATGCCGATTCACTTGCGCAACTTGTTCACTTATTGGTCAAATGCAATTTGCATAACTTGGACGCTATCTCTAACCTCTGCAAGTATTATGCTAAGAATATTAAATGCTTAGAATATACACCACACAATGACTTTCAAGCCCCGGCCTCCTTAGTGCTAGCGATTCAAAACTCACTTCAAATCCTGTTCTCCAAAACAATACCTGATCTCCTGCCTCGCAAAATTTCCAATACGGTGTTTCCTCAACTTCCAGTCATTTGAACAATTGACTGTACAAGCATTATGTATGATGATCTTGAATGGTTGGTATGTAGGGTATTCCAAAACATGGAAGTCTTCATTACGGGGTATTATCACTCACATGCGTGCTGGAAATCAAAGTTAAATGAATCCAATGAGACTTACCTCAAGATACCTAAGAAGTTCAAGCACATCATCTTTGTGACATGTAACGGAATTCCAGTAAACAATCAAAAGCTTTCTGAAATGTTCAAAGAGTATGGAATACACTGTCACTTCAGGCGTCAGTTAGAGTATTGTGACTTGATGGTCAGTTCTTCATCCTCGACTGGAAACCGTATCAATTCTGATAGTTTGGTCATGTGCCTCACAGGGTATAGCGGATAGCATCCAGGTTGGCACCTCCGATTGATATTTCAAGGTTGATCACATTGATTGAGATTGCAGTTCGAAGGTTAGCGACTTTAATATTGATAATGTGATATAGACATTGCCCCTGTGGGATTATACTGATTGATCTCTCCGCATATTCAACAGCAATATTTTTCCTTTTGTTGTTCATCATGGTGGAAATTGTATATCCCAATGAGCGGATATCATTGTACAATTGGTGTTGCATGACTCAGATCCAATATGAGTTTATGCGGACTTGATCATTTAACACTACACAAAATATAATATTTTCTGGGCAGAAAATTAAATTATTGATACACAAAAATATTGAGAGGCCAGGAGAAGGGCAAAAAATAAATAAAAATATGCATCTTGTTTCCTGCGGTGAGAGCTTCACTCTCCATATTTTTCCATATTTTTACAGTCCGTATTGATAAGTGTACTAACAATAAACCTTCATAATCATCCAATTACAACCTGTAACAAGCACTGAAATTTGGCTCATTAGTGTTTAGAGAAACTTTTGATTTCTGAAAACACCTATAACTTTGTCAAATCTGCATCAAAATACTCGATTTTGAGTGCATTAGAAAGCTGAACTCTTCCTCTCAAACTTTCATAAGATCAAGAACTATGTAGCTAGTATGCCAATCATTCTATGGATCTGTATGTACAAATGTATAAAAATGATGATATCTTTTTTAGCAGACCAGCATGCTGTGTGGTCCTATTACGAGCTATTTGGAGGACAATTCCAGCTTACCAATGCACCCAAAATCGAGCGTTTTGGACAGGAATTGAAAAAGTTATGAGTATTTTCAGAAATCAAAAGTTTCTCTAAACACTAATGACCCAAATTTCAGTGCTTGTTACAGGTTGTAATTGGATGATTGTGAAGGTTTATTGTTAGTACACTTATCAATATGGACTGTAAAAATTTGGAAAAATATGCAGAGTGAAGTTCTCAACGCAGGGAACAAGATGCATATTTTCATTCATTTTTTGCTCTCCTCCTGGCCTCTCAATATTTTTGTGTATCAATAATTTAATTTTCTGCCCAGAAAATATTATCTTTCTTGTAGTGTAACATGGCTGTGTCTCAGTTTTGTCCGGGATTTGTACTTAGGCGTCAGATTTAATAACAAAACTGGTGATTGATGTGTTTTTGTATCTGTTTGCCACAATACCTGTCCTACCTTTGCATGCCTGTACAATGAGAAGAATGGCAGACCGTGCGCACATCCAATTGGTTAGTTTGCGTATTTAAAATTTCTTTTTGCCAAAATGTTTGTTTTTTGTTATATTGTTCATGTTTAAAAGTGTCTGGTTATGACTATTCAACCTATGATAGGTTTATGATTGAAATAATTGAATGGTTTTCATGTCAACACTTTTTTTCTTGACTCAAGTTTGCTGATTACGTTACTGAGCTCATGTGGTGGTGTCATTGTAACTGCATTGTTCTTGAGTGCTTGGGTTATGTGGTCTTGTGAATGGGTCCGCGTTTATTTTGGTGAGTATCAGTTTTCTAAGCCATCTTGTGGCTCTGATGTTGAATTAGAAAACTGTTTCCCCCTATGACATGCTATTTGTGCCTGGGGTGTTAAGTTTTATCCCTTTGTATAGCATTGGTTGTTTTGTTATGTCCGTGTGGTATGATGTAGTTGTGTTATACTAATTTCAACATAGGCTTTTGTGGTCTGCGGTTTGAATTTAATTATTAATGGTGGGTGTGTGCATTAGTTTTTCTCTGGGTCTGTTGCGGTATTGCAAAGAATACTACTATCACGATGTGTAATATTTTTTGTTCAATTTTGTGTTGGGGTACAAGCGGATGATGGATTAGCTCGTTCAATCTTTGTGAAATGCAATTTAAATCAACAATATCAACTTTGTCGCATTGGTTGGCGTATGAAGATACGAAATTGACATTAGTTGTAGTTTTTCTCTGGGGTTGCAGGGCATTGTTTTTCTTGATTTGTTTGGGTCACTTTATTGCTTGAGTGGCATGTTTCCCCAATTCTATCTAATTGGTTTTTTGAGAGGGAGTCATAGTATTTAAGATGTCCTTTGTGGTGGTTGGTTGGCTTCTTTGCACATTGTTTTTTGTTATATTTTGTGTCTTGCTATTGGAATGCCTTGTGGCAATCAATCCCAGTTCTCATCTTGCGCCTTTCTTTTACTCTTCCAATTGAGGTAGTGCAGACAATCATGTCTTATCTCGTTAGTTCTTACCATGTCAACCTTTTTGAAACCCTCAACAGCGCCGATAGTGGCTTCTTACATCATAGTATTATTAAATATATCCTCAAGCTGCGTTTGTTATCTAAATCATGGGTGATAGCAATTGGCCCGTTTGGCTATCGGTCACTTTGCCCAATTAATGCTTCAATGATCAAGAAAGTATTGCAGAGATTCGTTAATGGTTTCATGATTGGCGGTTGCACTGGCTTATGTTGACTTTCATTGGATCATATTATGTATCAAACCTATGGTGTCATTGATCCGGTCTCAAACACTCGCCTAGATGTATTAGGCATGGATGTTGGTTTGACTTGGTTTTCAATGCAGGAAGCAGCTCAACTTATCACTTTATGTGGCTGTAATATCACTGATCTCAAACTTAGTTTTAAAAGCTCGATGGGTTTCTCTAAGAATATGTTGGATGCTATTGGAGATCTTCAATCTTTGAAGGTTCTCATTCTGCTTGGCAGCAAGATACGACGCACCCGCAACAACTCAAAATCTATTGAAGCTTTGCTCACTTCAACAACCAAATGGGAATCTTTATCTATTCATTGTGTTGCTCTAGATTCTTTAGACCTGTGGCCTGGTTCTTCGCCAAACTTGTCACATCTTTGGCTTGCTACTTATCCTGAAAATCAAGCAGCTTTAACCCGCTTTTGTAAGGATGTAGCCATGGATGTGAAAATATTTGAATGCCTCTCACCTGAGAACCAAGAAGACATTGCACCAATGATTGTTTCATTACGGAACTCAATTGAAATTCTTTTCTTGGAGTGTATCCCAGACAATCTACCCGGTGATTTGTGCGCAATGTACTTCCTTAAACTTACTGTCTTTCAAAGCATTGGGTCAGGTATTATCCTCTCAAACCTATCTTGGTTACAATGGCCGGTTTTTGTCTTGTTGGAAGTGTTCATTACAAGTTGTTCACATTCAAAAAAGGACTGGCTCAAGATGTTGACTTGCCCTGTTTGGGCTGGGGTTATTTTACCAAAAAACTTCAAATGGATCATCTACACCTCCTGGAAAGGCCAATCTATGTGCAATGATGAATTGGTCCATGCTTTCTTAGCTTATGATATTAAGTGCCTCTTCAGGCCCAAATTGACTCACAGAGATATGTTGGTATGTGGAGCTCATGTTTGGTTTTCTTGTCTTGTTTACTTATGATAATACCCTGGTGTTCTGTTTTGTACAGGAATCTCTGGAATGACTAGTATTGTTCTGGCGCATTAATTTCTATCTTATAATTGGAGAGATCGTGTTCTATGGCATGATATTTATGGCTTTACTTCTGATCAATGGCCTGTTTGTGTTCGCCGATATCACGCCACATATATCAAAATTCAATTGACTTATATTCTGTCAACTTGATCATGCTTCCGTTTTGTTGTGTTATACTTTCAAATTTCTTGATATTAAATTCCTTATGTAGTTTGTTTGTTGTGGTCTGGCATTGTCATAGGCTATTCTGTCTTGAGTTTTTTCTAACCTGTTAAATCACAAATATTTCCTTGATACTTATCTTAATTCTAGGGTAACATTTTGTTGCGCGTGGTTTGACTCATTTTGTCCTGTATGTTTTGTAGATAGATTCCACTGATTTTCTTATGATCTTGACAATTATGTCTGATATGAGATAATACCTAATATCAACTTTACTATGAATGTGTGCTGATAGTGGGCGATTTGAGTTATTTTGGTGATTGTGTGTCACTTATTGTCTTGTGAGTTTAAATGATGGTGTATAAAATGCCATCACTACGCTTGATTGTTTGGGTTTTACCAGCTTGAATTTACTATTTGTTTCCACTACACAAAATGTAATCTTTACCGGGTGGTAAAGAAAACTACTGACATAGAAAAATCCTGACGCAACAGGAAGAGAGCTAAAAATCTGAAAAAATATGCACCTTGTTCCTAGATGTTGGGGCGTCATGGTGGGTATTTTTTTGTATTTTACACGCGGATATTGGTTAATGTACTAAAAATAAAGGCTAAAGATCATCAACAACCCACCTGTAACAATACCTGAAATTTGGGTCATGATTATGAAGACAATATTTTGTGGTCTAAAAACTTCAATAACTTTTGCAATTCTGCTCCAAATGACTCCATTTTTGGTTCATTCAAAAGCTGAACCATTCTCCTTTAAACTTCATAAAGGTAGTAAGGTGTTATCTAGTCATGTAAACACTCTACATATGTTCAAACAGTTCTGAATAAATAGCTCTGTAGGATCTTTTGCAGACCGGCTACAGATGTGATGCCTCAATGATAAATGTAGAGGAAGGAACCACCTTTTTGATGAACTAAAAATCGAGTGATTTGATTTGGAAATGCAAAAGTTATTGATGTTTGAAGATTTCAAAATCCTGTCTTCAAAATCATGGGCCAAATTTCAGGTATTGTTACACGTGGGTTTTTGATGATTCTCAGCCTTTATTGTTAGTACATCGAACAATATCTGTCTGTAAAATACAAAAAAATACTCATCATGATGCCCCAACATCTAGGAAAAAGGTCCATATTTTTTCAGATTTTTAGCTCTCTTCCTGTTGCCTCAGGATTTTTCTATGGTAGTAGTTTTCTTTACCGCCCGGTAAAGATTACATTTTGTGTAGTGTTCCCATGTGTAGGAATATGTGGCGCACATATTGGGTTTGTCTCAAGTTGTGAAACGGTTAGATACGTTGTGTGAATTTTGTATGTTTCCATTTGGCCTCATGATTGCTTGGTTCATTTGCAGGATTGTTGTAGCGGTATGGAGATTTTGGGACTGCTATGAAAGGATAACCTGCAAGACCTGATAGTGTTGTTGTTTGTGTATTGTTGGCCAGTTTTCACACATTTGAGCATGATTATGTTTGTATGGATTGAGTGAAATCTTTACTGACACTAGGGTTGCTTTATATTTCCGGATGGCGCTATAATGTTACTGTGTCATGGAGCGTGTGCTGATACGGATCTTTGTTTTATTGTGCCTGTCCGGAGTGTCAATTCACGGGTCTCCGTTTATCATATTCTTGTAGCATGTGATTTAGGTTCATTGGTGCAAATTGGTCATGAATCACTTACCTGATGGAAGTCTAACTTCTTTTGCTTGTTTGTTATATAGGGTCTGCAATAGTGAACTATTGCTGCAGTTGTGTCCTCCAATTCCCAAGGTTACTTCACCTAGCATTTGTCCGTCATGTCTTTAGTGGCTGCTAATAATACTAAATCCTTATCTTTTGGTTTGCTACCAGTAGAAATTGTAGATTTAATAATCAGTCACTACGTCGAAATGGCTCCTCGTGCTGCTTCAGATCCTATGAATTGTGCGAACAAGGCTTTTTTACTGCTCAATTCTTATAAACATTTGTTAAATCTACAATTAGTTAGCAAATCTTGGGCTTCAGCTGTTATTCCTTTTGCATATAAATCTGTCTATTTGTTATCGCCAATTATGTCCTCCAGTTTTTTGAAATTGTGGAAGTCTCCTGTGTCATTTTCTTTTTCTCATCTGTTGCGCCGTATTTGCTTCAATCGTCTCTTGTTTGTTTCTGATTGCCTCAGGGAGCAAGTTTTTGGGGGTTTATTGAGTGATGATCATGGGGGAACAGATTCTGTGGCAGACATGTTGGACACATTGGCAATTCCAATGAATGTGGTGGCAGGTATCATTAGCACTTGTGGTCACAACTTGGAACATCTCAAACTCAAATTTGCTAACTTGGTTGGCTTTTCACCTGGCTTGGCAAGTGCAATCAACAATATCAAATGTCTCAAGGTGTTAATAATTCATGGGAGCAAGGAGGTTGATGTTTTAAACAAATCAAATTCTATCAAATCAGTACTTGAATCAACACCTCATTTAGAATCGTTGTCAATTTCATGTGGCTCTTTGAAACCTCTAGATATAAAACCCGGGTCTTTACCAAACTTAACACATCTGTGGTTGCGATGTCATTCCTCAAACTTGAACGCTTTTGGGGTTTTATGCCATCGTGTAAAACAAAGCGTGAAGTTGCTGGAATGTATACCAACCCAAGATCAAGATCTACTTGGTCCAATCATTCTGTCGTTCCGTGAACATTTAGAATCTTTCTTCATGGTATCAATTCCTTACCGCTTACCACATAGTGTCGCGCATACTCATTTTCCTTGACTACGTGTTATACGGTGCATGTCTTTTGATGCCCAATCAACATCCGTTGCTTGGCTAAGCTGGAAATTCTTTTGTGAACTGGAGGTCTTGGTCACAAGTTATTGGCACTCAAAAAAATATTGGCATTTTCTGTTGAAACATTTGGAATATGTCCCTGTTAATTTTCCTCCTAATTTCAAAACCATTGTTTTTATGACTTGGAATGGGTCAAGTGTGGAGGATCCTGAATTGGTGGAATTATGCTCTCTTTATGGTATACGTTGTGTTTTCACTAACAAATTGACTCACACTGATTTGTCGGTATGTATTTTGTTCCATTTATTTAGTCCATTCAGTTTTTCTTTGACTTATGCTTCAAATGTTTTGATTCTATAGGGTTCTGCCAGTTGGTTCAAATGATATTAATGTTGAATTTGAATTTGTTTTTGGTTTGGTTACCGGTATTTGTTTTGGGTGCTGTCTTCATTTAATACTTGAACCCGTCTGATTGGGTGTTGGTTGTTTGTGAGTCTGACTTCACGTTAGTCAGATATAAATATTTTTACCTGTTTTTGATTTAGTGTGCTGTAGTGTCCTTGCATTCTTGATTTTCCTGTGCCCTTGATGTTTGTGTGACTTTTTTGTCTGGTCATTTGTATTGGGTTTGCGAGGTTGGCTTCATTTGGTAATTCTGTTCTCTCTGGTTCAGTTTAGTACATTGGTTATATATCAAACTTGGCTTCAAAGTCCGTGAGCGGCGCCCGCCGCTGAAATGCTAGATAAATGTAAAGCCCGATTGATTTCGAATGCTAACAAAGCTTGAACGCACACTATCCCAGTTATCAAAACAGCCAACCTGATCCCTCAAGACCTGTAGTTCTTTTGGCTAGCCTACCTTCACATAACACCGCGCAAACTCCATCCCAACATAGTCATCTATGGTGTCCCTGATGAGAAATCAAGGACCACACTATGCACTATGTAATATATGTTGTGTACTATGCACTTTGTGCTTCTGTGCTATGCGCTGAGGTTGCTGTGCTTTCGCACTTTGACAAAATCCCGACCGGCTGAATTTTGATTTGACCTGAATTTTGAATTCCATCATCGATCAATCGACTCCTCACACCTCGCCTCACCTCATCTCATCAGCCTACAAATCTTGATATCACAGCATCTTTTTATTGCGCCAATACCTAGGCTGTGCAGCAGCAACGATCTGAAAGGTTGTCCAGATGCAACCCTTCGGAACCGTTGGGATCATTTGATTGGAGTGTCCGGATGCACCCCAATCATCACTTGATCAAGCTGATACTCAACTGCCCATCACCAACCAACTCAAGCTATTGAACTCAATCAATACAGCATGTGGTCAACACCAATATGAACAATTACCCCACGTGCTATTCATTCCCTCTCCACAAAAAACAGCCCATCACCATTACCATCCACTAACAAGTCTGAACCTGTCTGGGCACCACTCCTCACACCCTAACTTGCGCCGCAGCTTTTTCATTGGATGTTAACCTAACCAGTGGTTGTGGAACGTTTTGAATTCAAATTTTTGGCATCACCATCTTAATTTACTTGATTATTTTTGAAACCAACTCTTCAAGGAAGTAATTATCATAAGTAATTGGTACTCCTGTTCTTAAGTATGTATTTTTTATCAAGCACATTTGGTTTGTTTTCTTTCTATAATATCTTCTGATCTCTTCATATGCTTCTTTCAATTCATAGGATGGCTCCTAGCAATTTTCCAACTTGCATCACATGCACGGAAGAGTACCCTTTCATGGATACGATTACACATCCCATCTGTGGATCTTGCTTATACAATGATAAACTTGAGACTGCAAGTGATCCAGACAGCATCCCTCCGCTCAAGTTCTGCAAGGATGGCTGTGGAATACAACTTGGACGGTATGCAACAGATATGTGTGGACCTTGCAAGCAAAAGTCAGGCCAATTGACTCAACAGCCCCCTCCTCGATGCGATGCACCCCTCCCAGCCAAACAACTCAGCCCTGCCTCAATCGCGTCTATCAGGAAGACGATTGACTTACCTTCTCGTCCAGCTGCCAGCACAAGCCGGCTCCAAACACCAGCTCAAGTTCTTGGAAATTGCTGCAATTGTGTTGTCCCCAGCCCAGCCCCAGTCTCTCGGCCTATCAAGCGATCTGCACCCGACCCATCAGAATTGACTCCCACTATGCTCAATCATGCTGAAGGTTACAAACAGGGTGAAACTAGAGCAAAGCGAGTCCGTATGGATTGTATCGAGGTGAACAAACAAAAGAAAACTCCTTAATCAACTGTGATAGGACAAAATGATAAGAAAAAGAATCACTCATCAGCAGACCCTGTTATCTATCGAGTCGTGGTCAAGCTCCGATAAAACACGCAATCCGGCTCAAGACCACATGGGGTCTCTGATTATACTCATGATATCAACTTCTCAGATCCTCAGTGGGAAGATGAAATGGCTCGCTCTGCAACAAGACACTTCCAGGAAAATTCAGTAGGATTCTTTCAAAACCCTACCAAATCTTGCAAGAGTGAAAAGCTTCTGTATCCCAATCTCCCCTCCTATGACAGCACCTTCTATTTGCTTGGTGTTAGTACAGCAAAACTTTCTGGAGATCCGCTCAAGGAACATATACTATTGCTCAGCACAAAGCAGCCTGGTAAACGCAAAGCTCAAGGGCCAGTTGTCATGACTTTATTTTTTGCTGCTGCCACCTACTTAGCTTCAACCATTCCCACAAGCTTTCAATTGAATTCAAATTCTGGAAATGAACAAAGCAAAAAAGATGACCAAAGCAACCAAAGCGATGAAGACGAAGAAAGCGAGGAATTGGATGATTTTTTGACTTCTCTAAACCGGTTCCAGCCAATACTCAGATGGTATCTCAGGCTGTCACAGGTATTCTAGTATTCTTTCTTAATTGTGTGGCTTATCCGATACTAATAAAACTGTCAATAACAGATATCGACGAACCAGTGTTGTGGACAGATGATATATCCAAATCTGTCAGCCTTGCTATAATTAGGCGAATCCATCAGCTGGCAAATAAAGGTATCAACCCTCTTAGAATACCAGCCGATTCAGTTGTGGCCTCATGCCCAAAGCTTGATGCTTCAAATTCAGGCGCCCCTCAAGAATACGCAACTACTTTTCCTGATGGTCATCCTGCTGACCCTGATCAGACAATTACTTTAATTTCATGGAGTGATGCTCTACAGCTGCGTCTCAAAATAGGTGAGCAGTAAATGTTTTGCTTTCAAGTTCACAAAACCAATATTGATACTTGTCCTATTTATGCAGGGCGTTGTTTATCATTGATGGAGCCGTCTTGGATTCGCAGTTTTGGGGATGTCCTACCTGAACTTGAATATGATATCCAGGACCAAGACCCAATGCCTTGGGCTAATGGAGTTTTGATTGCGCCTGTTGCACAGTCAGAAGACTTAAGTCTTGATCCAACGCTGTAGAACTCCTACGCTGTGTGGCGTAGGCTGAGCCGGAGAGGGGAAGAATCACCGCAGAAAGAATAACAAGATGCGGGTGAAACTATGATTGTCGTAGACTGCCCTCAACCTTGAAATAACAGTTCAAAAATAAAAAAAGCAAGGAAGCAACTCTCTAACAACTTTCTACCTTCACAAGTCTAACACGTAACACTATTCTGATATTTCTAAAAAAAACCGCAAGATCTGGCAGAATCCAACAATACCCTACACAAAGATATACTAGATGTTGAAGCAAAGATATGTAGATTTTGAGTTTAATGTAATTCTTGCTATGAGTAAAAAGTTAATGATAAAAAACAATATATGGAAAGCCCTGATAAAAAAAACCCGGCCCTGAGCTTGAATCCAACCAACTGACAACTGTTTCACGACTCAGCTCAGCAAAACTACAATAAAAGAAAAAAAATAAAACAACAACACTACAATTCTTCAAGATCAACCACTACAAACGATGATCTAAACTACGATAAAGGTTTGTTTTATTATCTATCTTTCTTTTTCTTTCAATGAGATAAAAAAAATCCTAACAAACTTGATTTTAATCGGACACACTAACTAACGATGATATTCTGATTCTTTGATGGAACACTCTAAAAAAAACCTTATACGATGTCAAGAACACTTGAACACACGATTAAAACACTTAGACACGGACACGAAGCCGATAACAACAATCAGAACACTTTAACAACTAACACTAGAACACTCTTTGATCCACACTAATACGCGAATCACACGAAAAGAACACTTGATGATCCCTTGGATGGATCACAAAAAAAGAAAAACGATACCACAGATTCCTACACAAACGAGACAAAAAAAACAAACTCATAGATAACTTCTCTCGATCCCTCCCTCCTGCTTTCTCAATTTTCATCTCGATCTCCGATCGGACTTTTCTTCTCTTCAAATCACAAAAGGTAAGGTTTTTAAATTGTCTTTTCATTGATCTCCGCTATCTCATTCTTCACTATCCTCAATTTCAATCTTGAGTTCTATTTAAGTAAGTTTGTTTTTCATTTCTTATAATTTCTTATTATTCATTCTCTCGTTCATTCTTCAATACTAACTTAATCTTCTTTCTGTTTTTAATTCACTTCAACTGTAGGTTCAAATCTCAACCAATTCACACTCGATCTTAATTAGGTTTTCAGCTATTTCAACTTCAGACCTCAAGATCAAACTCCAATCCTGTTTCAATTTCGATTCTGGTGTTCGATGTTGGTATGTAGTTTGCTTTCCTCTTCTATCTTCTCCACTTTCTCACTGTACTAACTCTCTATGTTCTTTTCTTAACCATTCTTCTTTAGATCTTGACTTCATCAATCTCGATATTGACTGTTCATTCAATAATGTCCCTTCATTCCATTTTCGATTTTGGGGTCTTCATGTAAGTAAGGTTATATTTCAATTTTCTTATCTTTGTTCATACTTTAATCTTTCAAATTTCGATTCTGGCTCTTGATGTGTAAGTAAGTTTCATTCCCTCTTTTGTTTGTTCTTCTTTCTTCTTTGATTCCTTTCATTTTTAGATTCAATTTTAATCGGTCCGATAGATTTAAATTTCGATCCCATCCCCTTATCACCTCACACTTCTTCCTACCATCCTCTATCCCATCTCACTTTCGATTCCGACCGTTCATTTCAATTTAAATCAAACACTCAAGACCTCAAATCACTTAATTTCGATTTTAATCATTATGTAAGTAAGTTATCATTCTATCTCCTTCTGAGCTTTGGTTCTTGTTCAGTACTGACTTAATCTCCTTCCTTCTTTTGACTTCAAACCCCAAAAACAAATTTATTTATTTTATCAATTCAATTCTTCCCTTTCAACTTCAACCTTTATTCTTGAATTCAATTTCGATCTCCACCTTCATCTCTCAATCAGGTTTAGATATTAGGACCCCAAAATCAAACCACTTATCAAGTATATCATTTCGATCTTGGCCTATGATCAACTTCATGATATCCAAGTAAGTTTCCTATTCAGTCTCTGCTCTCCTACACACTACTGACTACTTCTATTGTTTCTTTATTTATTTAGAATTTAATTGTTTTTTGATTCTTGTTTGTATAGCTTACTCAATATTCATCAAGTTCTCATCTAGTATCAAGTTAGGACCTCAAAATAGAAGTTTAAATTCAATTGGAATTTTGATCATGATCTTTAATTCAGGTATGTAATTAAAATCAATTTGTTATCTTATTTGATTCCTTCTTCTGAATCATACTGACACTTTGAAATGTTCAATCTTGGCACATGTTTTCTTGTAGATCAACTGTTTGGTCTTGCTTGATTTTATATGTAAGTGTTTTTTTTTTCTTTCTTCATTCCTGCATCACATCAATGTTGATAATTTTTGACTCTGACCCCTTTTCTAAGGTTTGTATTTCATTTGATGTTTTGAATTTATTCTTTTAATTTACTTTTGTATGTATTTGAGTCCCTTGATAATGAAGTATAGAGAAATGCATAATGAAAATAATATGAATTGTTATGAGGATTTCAAATTTTGCTCCAGTCCCTTGTGCCTTGTAAGAGTTGAAGAAAGTCATCTATGTATCTTTTCTTTCACTTTGATGAGTTGATCTACAATGTAATAAAAGAATGATACGAGATTAAGACACAATCCTAGGAATTGCTTTCCACAACGCTCAAGAACCTCAAATTTGGTCAATGGTGGACAATGCATGCTATTGAAGATCATGTGATGGTTAAGGGGACAAGGCGATCTAGCTACAAGGCAAAATTACTGATTGATGGAAGAGCTCGTGCGGTTGTGGTTAAGAAAATTAGGACTTTTGAAAAACAAGATGAAGACACCTACTTAACAGAATCAGCAGTGTATCATCTGACTTCATGCCTACTCAAACAATTCAAGATTGCAATGTGTTTCTCTATTCATGTGACCAATGATCAAAAGCTGTTGTTGAACACCCTACAAGTAAGCTACTTCTTCTCTCAATTCTTCCTCTACTAACATATGTGTCTTTGCAGGTTGTGTTCAATATGGTACTGAGAGATGATCCCTCTACTTATCACATTGAAGAAATCTTGAAACAACCACTCCAGGTCATATGTACAACAAAGAATTTTTGCCCTTCTCAGCCAGATTCTTTATTATTGGACCTTTTGAGTGGGTTTGTGCACTTTACCTACAAGTACTTCCGAGGTCAAGCACTGGTTGCAAACATCAAGGTAAAAGACGGATTCCTGACTGGCATGTGTATGGTTGACCTCAGGTGAGTTGCCTGTTTCAATTGGTGTAACATAAATATGGCAAGATATCTTACTTGGAGTAAAAAATCGATATAGGTACAAGATAGGATAACCCACAGCAAGAAGGGATGGATGCATTCATCTCAAGTCATTGCTGTGGAACTACTTGCTTTGCACTAGACTTGAAGCCAAAATCTTTCAAGTATGAGAATGTGGGTACGCAGGATAATGAAACCCCCAAATTGGAGGAAGATGAGTCAGAAGAACGTGGTCATGAGGACAATGCTCAAAATGAGATTCTTGATTGTTTGAATTAAACAAAATGAACTTGACTTCTAAATACACATCTCATATAACTTTTTGTAAATTATATATCATGAGTATAATCACAGCCAATGCAAAGGTTTGGCCTCCAAAGCTTTAAATCCAAATAATTAAGCTTACTGCTTGAGCCGGAAAAATCTTCATTGACTGAACATGTTTCATTTGAAGTGGCAAGCAAAAAAATGGAGAGCCATACAATATACTAGTTTAGCACAGGTGGATGAGTGATATCAATTGTAGGTGCCTATCTATCTCTATCCCTAATTTCTACCTTGGGAACAAAGTTTGTATGATGTTTATACATCAATCTTGCTTCATTTACATCCACATTGAGACGCCTGAGAACAGCTAGAATACCTGGAAAGACATGCCAAACAGTTTCAATTTAAATATAATCAGGCGGGATCTCTAAGCATCTAATTGCACTGGCAACTTGTTCTTGGAAGGCTTTTGGAGTGACTTGGAACAGTATATCTGAATCAGGGAAATGTTTCTGTCTGAGAGCTTGAATGGTTGATTTGGGAACTGGACCCAGGCCATCTGTAGGTACCATTCAAACCTTCAGGTGAAGAGTAGACTACATTGGAAATTGTACCCGTTGGAAGCACTGATTGCTTATTTTTTTGAGTCCGTGGAGTATTCTTTATTTGAGTGTAGTTGTCCAAGAGTTTTTGCACAATGGGTATCCAAAGATACAAGAGGAGCATCCTAAAAAGTAAATGCTTGGTGAGCAAAATATCATCATGAAAGAAGGGAGATAAACTTACTTCTGTAGGGGATCACATTGATCATATATTCCCATATGTATAGCTGCCTCTATCTCATCATGAATCACAAAACCAATTGCTTTTTGTAACAGTGACCAAAGACTTTCAATCTTCTGGTTGCGTTGAGAAGTTGTATAGATATGAGCAGCTTCAGCTTCTTCAGGAGTAAAACCACCATAAATTTGAGCTAATGACATTTGAAAGCCAGCCATCTTGATTGTCTCAGTTCCATGTAAAGGAATCTTCGATTCCTGATCAGATTCAACAACAAGCTTATCAGCAAACAGGAAAGAGGTTCTATGAGACCGGAGAGAGTGTTTTGAGATAAGATGTTGTTTAAGATGAAAACTTTCTAAAGTAATGAATATTTCTTTATATCATAAACAAAAACAAATAAAAACATGAGTAGCATAATATCATACCTGATCAGATTCAACAACAAGCTTATCAGCAAACAGGAAAGAGGTTCTATGAGACCGGAGAGAGTGTTTTGAGATAAGATGTTGTTTAAGATGAAAACTTTCTAAAGTAATGAAGAAAAGAAAAGAAATTTTTCAGAGTAACAAGGTATGATTGAATATAAGATTTGATACAACTCATGGTTGGGTTTAAAGTTCAAAGAAAAAGGTTTTGAGTATTATCTTACATGATATCTAATTATTAGCATATATTGAATGAAATCATATGAAATGAAATATGTGTATACATGTAACAAGGATTTGTTCCAACAGCCCCCCCTGCTCACTACCTTTTTATTTCAGACAGGCCAAGTTGGTCGTAACTTTCTAGTAAGATATTGGTACCCACAGATTTAGTAAGACCATCAGCTGGCATTTCCTTCGTTGATACATGAGAAACAGTAATTTTTCCTTCCCTAGTAAGTTCCCTGATAAAGTGATGTCGAATGTCAATATGTTTAGATTTATTATTAACAGAAGCCTCATTACAAAGAAAAACTGCTCCTTGATTATTGTTGGAAAGAGGTAGAGATATTGGAACGTTTATGGGAGGTTGTTGAAGAATGTGTTCGAGTAACCTGCATAGCCACAACCCATGTTTTGCACAATCACCAATAGCTAAGTACTCTGCTTCAGTTGTCGACAACGTCACTGATTGCTGCCTACGACTTTTCCAAGAAACAAGAGATCCATTCACGTAGAACACAAAACCTGTGGTAGACCTACGAGTGTCAATATCCCCAGCATAATCCGCATCTGCGTAACCCTCAACAAGTTTATTTTTCCCTTTTTGATGACCAAATGTTAAATTGAAATTGATTGTACGCTTTATGTATCTAAGTAAATGTTTAACAGCAGCCCAGTGTGTCTCATTATGTCTTGAATTGAATCTAGCAAGATAGCTAACAGCGAACGCAATGTCAGGTCGAGTTTGTACAGAAAGAAAACTTAACATTCCAACAGCGGCCCTATAATTTTCAATTTCAGTAGTGTGTTCGGGTGACGGTGTTGAAAGTTTGATATTTTGAGGAAGAGGTGTTTTGACACCATTGCAGTCAGCCATTCCAAATCTTTCTAGCATTGATTCACAGTAGTGTGACTGATCAAGAGTGAGTGTACGATTTGATCTATCTCGGGTGATATGTATACCAAGATGAAGTGATGGATTTTCATTCCAACGAAATTTGTAGAATTGTTTGAGATCATTTTTGAATTGATTTATAAATTGTTTATTGTTTGAGAAGGTCATTCCATCATCTACGTGCATATGAATGTGGATGAACGAGGATTCTTTCCTCAGCGTGTATAATGAGTTATCAACCGGACATACAGTAAATCCTAGTTTCTTCAGTTTGGAATCCAGATCATGATTGAATTCACGATGGGCTTGGCAGGTCCCATACAAAGATCAATCAAGCAACATGACATGTTTTGGTTTGCTCAGATCACGAAACCCGGTTACTTGTCGGACATAGACTTTATGTTTCATCGTTCCGTTGAGAAAAGCGGTTTCAATATCAAACTGCTCCATTTCCAGGTCGTCTTTGGCAGTGAGAGCCTATAATGTTCGCAGCGTGTCAGTCATTCCTACAGATGCATATGTAGAGTCAAAATCGATGCCTTTGATTTGATGATTTCCGCCAGCAACCCATCGTGCTTTATACTTGATGATTCGACCAAATTCATCACGCTTGCGTTTGAGCCGCCACATGCCGGGTAACACATTGGCATCGGAAGGAGGTTTGACCAAGTGACCCACCGAATGATTCTGTAAAGAAGTGAATTCTTCAGACATTGCATTTAACCAGTCATCACGATTAGGACCCTTCATAGCTACAGAATAGTTAGGTTCGTCATTTTCAGGGCCATCATTGATTTGACTATGAAAGCATTGGACAGTTTCAGTAAAAGTATGGTGTCCCACAAGATCACCGAGTCGTTCAACAGGCTGAGTTCGACGTTCGGATCGGCGTGGAGGTGGTGGTGCTTGGTTAGGTTGATTAGGTATTCCAAGGAACCTGTTGATTTCTGTAGAATCAGGAGATGTAATGCAAGGGGTTTCCCACATATCGTCCCAGTCATCCTCTCGTAAAACTGCAAGCTCCTCAGTGAACTCGGGATCAAGACGACGAAGAGGAAACTCATCCTCATTGAACACAACATCATTCGAAACCATTATCCGATTAGATTTAGGATCCCAGAGGCGATAAGTGTTTGAATATTTTTCGTAACCAACCATAATAGCTTTAACGGATCTTGGTTCAAGTTTGTTGTGGTGACCAGGAGGAATAGAATACGCCAAACAACCTATTACCTTCAGATGATTGTAAGGTAGAATTGGTTCCTTAACCTTCAAGGCTAATAGCTGCCAGGCATACTCAGGACATGTGAAGCGAACTGATTTAGAGGGACATAGGTTTAGGATGAAAGATGTAGCCATTATAACTTCTCCCCAAAGACGCACAGGTAGATTGGCATGAATTAGTTGCGAACGTAAACGACTGGAAATAGTGCAATTGAATCTTTCAACGACTGAGTTTTGTTGGGGACTCTCGGGAGGGCCCATCTCATGGATGATGCCATTCTCATTAAGGTATTGTGTAAAAGCGGTACTAGTGAATTCACCTCCTCTATCGGTTTTAAAAACAGCAATTTTGCACAAAGTTTGATTAGACAACATTAAATGGAATTGTTTAAAGGCATCAAGAGCCTGAGATTTTGATTTTAGAAGTATAACCCAGTTACGTCTGGTGGCGTCATCTATAAGAACCATTGAATAAAGAAAACCACCAATAGTCGCAGCAGGAAATGGACCGGCAAGATTGCAGTGAATACGATAAGCAGGGACCTGAGACCTTGGAAGGCTGCCAGAATGGCTGCTCCTCGACTGTTTCCCCAGGGTGCAAGCCTCGCATGTTGACGGTGCAGAAGGATTAAGTTGTAAGACATCTTCCATGATAGATTCGGTACTCCTATTGTTCAGGTGTCCAAAGCGTAAATGCCATAAATCAGTGGTGTTCGGTTTGAAAGAACTCGCAGCACACGCACTAGGTTCTGAGTAATGATAGAACTTCCAAAACCCCCCAGGACCGGCATCTTTGTAGGCTGGGATGATGTGATTGGAGTTGGAGAAATACATATTCTTATCATCTTGATTTGTGCCGTAGTGAGGATCAACAATTTTGAATCCTGTCTCATATAGCTCAGTGATGGATATCAAATTTGCAGGTAGGGAAGGAGAATACAAAACATTCGGAATCTCGACAAGGGTGGCTGATCCATCAGGATTGAATGCGTGTAATTTGGCGGTCCCCATTTGATTCGCCACGATTCTGGAAGACTTGTCTGCATTTGCTACCTTAATCCAGACCGGAGTAACTTCTCGTAGATCATCGAGTAACATTGCATCTCCGAACATGTGTCGATTGCAAGCCGTATCAGCCAGAGTTGCCTTGTGAGTCTCTGATGATGGTGGATAGTTCGGTGAAACAGTTAACAAAACCTCCGTTGATTCATCCTCAGCAACCACGTTGAAGGAAGTGGCAAATTGACAATCGGCAGTCGGCAATTCGCTCGAAGCCGGAGCTTGACTGTCAGTAACACTCGGATTTGATGGAGGAGTAGCACCTTGCGCTTCTGCATTCAAACCAATTACACCAGCCGCTACAAGTTGATTGAACCTTCTCAACTTCTCAGCATCCAATAATGAATTGGCCGAAGAAGATGTTGAATTTGCTCCAGGACGTGCATTAGTTGTCCGACGGTTTT